CTCAAGATAGTCACATGAAAGGTTCTGCATGGAATCAGCCTGCTTCAGCGTGGCAGATGCTGAGATAGAGTTAAGTACAGTTACACCTTCCCTAATTCCTCCAGAGCTCTTCTGCAATCCACATGCTGTGCTTCACCACTCTTCCGTGTCTGCTACAGGGACTTAACTCGAACACTGTGCATTATACATCCCTAAACGCAGAGCACTGGGAAGCTCTTTGCTTACAGCTTTGCAGGGATGAAAGGATCCAGCTCAGCTGGATCCTGAGTTTAGCCACTTTCTGTATTTGTTTCATAGCCCTCATCTGTTTTTCCCCTTCTCTCTTCCCATGGGAAAGCTCCTAATTGCAGATAAGAGCTATTTTGCTCTGAACTTCAGCAATTTAGTGAAGGGTTTTTAGGTTGAATCCTGATGGTATGTTGGTGTTATTTTGCCATGTGGGTGTTATTTGTTTATAGAGGAGAAAAAAACATTCTGATTAGGGAAGAAACCAATTCTTGTGTCCATGTTCTTAGTAATTTGGAGCCCAAAGACGAATCTTAAAATCATTGAGAGCTGAGGAAACAAGGAATCAAGTAACTCAGTAATTACCTTGCAAGTATTCAACTAATGTTTCTTGGTTAGACAGTGTGATAGCCCAGTTGTTGAGATACCTAGACACCGGTTTCCAGTGTTCCCACATCTGCACTAGTTTCAACATGGTGTCCAGGAATTTTATTGAAACAAATAATTTAGTGCAATGTAGTTTTTGTTTCAGCTTTACAGACGTATGATACTTGCCTGTGATCCCAGTGAGAAAACGAGATCAACTAATATAATAATAACTTTTTTTTTCCTCTTCAATCCTTATTAACTGATCTAATAAAAGTAACTTTTTCTCCTCCTGCTAACATTGGTACATTCTTTACTAATTTCTTGGTTTGGGTGTGTAGATGTACTGGGTAAGGCTGATTCATCCTGTTATTTTGGAAGAAAATAAAAACGTAGTTTGAAAGAGTACTCTTTGCATAAAATTCATTGGTGAGCACTGACTCATATAACAAGCTGCTTGAAGGCTCCCATAGAGGGGACATACAAAGTAACAAAGCTTTATAATACTGATAAGAAGATTAAACATCAGTAAAGGAAGAAAAGGCAATACTGGGCCAGTCAGTAGATCTTAAAACATGTTATTTGTTTCCAACTTCTAAACATGATAGAATATACCATTGTAATGTACAGAATGTAGCTAATATGCTGACCAGGGATTATGAGAGAAGCAGTGGCTAATATTAAAGTATTATAAACAACGTAAGATTTTCAGATGTCATTAGAAAGTCAAGGTAATCCCTGCAACTTTTTATAGCTTTATCTATATATCAGTAATTTAGGTGAATTAGTTTTAATACTCTGACAGCATCAAACATGACTGCATGAGCAGTCTTACTGGTAGGGCAGTCTGAGAGCTGGAAATTTCTTATTTGGCAGAGGGTGACGTGGGTGCTGCAGTCCCAGAGTGCTGTTTTGGCACACCAGGTCTAAATGAACTTCATTTCATGTTCCTCATAAATCCTACTCTCCAGCCAAGTCCTTGCTATCTGTTGATTTATCTTCTTGTTTTCTCCCTTCCTTGATTACTTGTGTGCACTGACTTGATTGCCCTTGTCCATAATCATCATAAAGGAATGAGGAGCTTAATTTGATTAATTTCTTATTCATGCAAACAGTAATGATATTTTTCTTTATTTTTTCTTTTTTTTTTGTTAGCAAGATATGCACTTGATCATATCTTGAAAGTAGGCACAGGTTGTCTAATTGATGATGTATTTCTCCTTCTGCATTAATTGTGCTAATTTCTTATCACTTCAGGCTCTCTGTTCAATCAGTAAAAGAGGCTGAGGTTTTTTTTAGAAGCAAGTTTAGAATGAAGCTTTAATGTTTCAGACTAAATCATACTGCATGCGAAATGCTTTACTTCTGATTGTGAAACACTGATATTTTAAGTAATTCAAAACTTTTAAAACATACCACAACATGTTTACTGTAGTAAACATTGTTTAGCAAAATAATGTGTAAAATAATGGAAATATTTTTTACCAACCTTTACCTCCTTCTTGAACTTGCTTTACTTGGATATCCTATATATTTTTAACATCTTTTTAGGAATTTTAATTTTAGTAACTTTGCAATGGTAATTGGTATCACTTTTAGGCGACTCTATTCTTAAGGTTTTATTACAGAAAGCCTCATAGATGCTGTATGTTAGCACATCGAGACTTGGTACCAGAAAGGCTGAATATCTAGATATTGAAGCTTTGTTTCAGTGTATGGAAAATCTCTGGACGATACTGGTGGGGCTGCATGATATACAGCACTGACTAGATATTAGCACTGCAAATAATTTGGGGTGAATGGGTAGCTCAGACTGTTATATAACGTACAGCATGTGATGTTGTATTTTTATGATCTTAAAATTGCTAAATGGTGAGTATTTAATCTTCTGAATATGAACATGGATGTTTCCAATGAAGTCTCTTCTAAACTGGTCCTTGCTTAGGCGGTAGTTTCCGGAGTGCTGGAAAGTATGCATCTGTAATTTCCTTTCCTTTTATAAAACTTGCATTATTAGTCTATAATGCAGGAAGTATATTTCTTGGTACAAAACCAGCATATTTTTATAATTGTAGTTTGATTTTATTTGTAATGGTGCCCTCATATCTATGCAGCATTGAAATACAGTAAGACTGCCTAAGAAATCCATGCAAAAAGCACACCTTCTTGTAGGGATGCAGAATTCTGATGGCATAAGGGTTTTTTGGTTTTTTTTTTGTGGGGTTTTTTTGTTTTTTTATATTTGTTAGTGCTGCAGATACAGCAGAAACATTTGTTAGTTTTAGCAGATACACAAACTCCGCAGTATTACTGTTCATTCACACTCCTGTTAGCATCACAATGTAGAACTTAAACTCTCTGTAACTAGGTCTTTCCTTTACAGCAGAAATTGCCATTTCTGTCCTCCAGTGCTAAGTTTTTCAGCATAGGTAGGGAATTGTCTTCAAGCGAAAGTGTAGCCACATCTCCTGAGAATGTAGCAGCCTAAAGGCCTTGTTCTCTCAAGTACTGTTAAGATTGTTTTAACTGGCACCCCTACCAGAAGTGATAGTCCCATCTAGTTCCTTTTGTTCAAGTATCTCTTGCATTAGTTAAGGGGTTTGTGTGATTGCAGTGATCCAACTGAGGAAGATGTACTTTTGAAATTTTTTTCCCTTGAGCTAATTTTAACCAAGATCAGGACCTCCCTCTGTTTGCTTCATGGGGAGAGCAGCTTTGGCGTGGACCAGTTTCAGCCCCTACAGAGCAGCATCCTCAGCAGGATATGCTTTCCTTGCCTGTAACTTCTTCCTTTTTCCAAAGAATATTTCCATCAGAAGTATAAAAACTCTTCATCTATTAAGGTGGTTTTTTTTTTTTCTTCAAAGTGCATTTTGTAATGTTGTCACGTGACCGATTTGCAAGATTGGCTTGGAAAGGTTGTCTTCATAAAGAAGCCTGAGTGAATAGGATCAAAGCCAATCACTTAACGGTGAAGTTTAGAAACTCTTAAGATTATTCATTTCTCCCTTCCTATTTCTTTTGCTTTTCATTTGGGATAGCAGATATGAATAATTAATCTGTGTATCTGAGCAGCAGGTAAATGCTATTAACTATTTTCTTCTGTTTACTTTCTGTGAAAAGTGAGCATGGTGCCAAAGACAGGAAGAACTGAAAGAAGTTTATCAGGGTACAAAGCATGTTCTATACTGAAAAGCACTCTGATCATAGTAGAACAACCACCTCCAGCAGCACTGTCTCTCCATAGCTAGGTACAGGCGTATTGCATTTCTCTACATTTTAGCTACTGTGCTTTGTTTAGGCCCCAGCCCTCTATGATACAGACCCTGAGAAATCGTCTGTTAAAATCTGCAGCTTCTCTTTCAGATCTGAAACTTAATTTCAGGTGATAGCGTGTCCTTTGTTTTGTAACATGGTATGTACACTAAAATACCATGCTCCTTTCCTGTAGGTGGAGGTCAAGCTTCTATCTGCTACAACAATACATTCTATTAAGTTTCACGTTTTGTTTATACTTGCTTTGCACTGAAAGGACAAACTGAAATCTTGTGGTTAGGACAGACTGTGCTTTATTTTGTGGTTGCACAGCACTATGTGTACATTTAATGCTGCTCTTTGTGGCTGAGCACAGAAGACATTAGGTATTGTGAGCTGCTGAGAACGAAAATAGGTTTTCAGAAAAACATCCTTTCTACCCTTATGCTGCATCTAATATTGCTCCTACTTTTCTGCTTTGGTGTGTGCCAGTGCTGCATCCTCCTGATGATGCATGAGCTGAACTCTGCTCTCAGATCAATGATCATGGTACAGAATAAGGGCTTCTTTCTTGGAATCATATTTTCAGTATTGGATGTAGGTGTTTGTCTTATTGGATGATTCCAGAAGAAGAGAATTATTGCTGTAAGGAGTGCTGTGTAATTACCATGCCGAAGACAAGTGTTAGGGCTTTTTTATCTCCTTGTGTCCTCAAAATCTCTTTAAAGTCAATGTGTGTCTAAAATTGGTAAATTAACAGGAATCGGTATATGCAGACTTAAATGTTTGGGTTTCTATCAGTAAGTATTGTCCCTGTGCGTATATCTTTTATTATTTGTATGTAGAGTTAGAACTACTTTGTTCTGTTTCTGTAGGCTGAAGGTAGCTTTGGTTTGGCACTGCTGGATGGTGACAAAAATATTCTAGTCTTTATGACTCTGGTGTTCAATATACAGTTTATACCATTACTGCTTGTCTCCTGCCTTTTGGGTCAGTGAGAGTAGAAAACAGTTCCTTATAATATTTTACTGATTTCAGAAGAATGTTATTCATTTGTATCATTATACACTGGCTGTAGCATTAATCATTTAACCATAAGAGTTTTATTGTGTATAATATGCTGTAATATTTACATGTTGCCTTGTCTCTTGCAGATCTAGAAATGGCAATTGCATATTGGAATTTAGTGTTGTCAGGAAGATTTAAATTTCTAGAGCTTTGGAATAAATTTTTGTTGGTAAGTATGTACCGTATTCCTTCCTGACTATCTTAGTCCACAGCAGTCTGATTTGCAGCCTGTGCGTTCAACGATAAAGAAAAAGGATCTTTCAATAGTTCCTTCAAACTTTTTTCTTTTTGAAAACCAATATAAAATATTCTGAAATCAAGCCAAATTAAATCTTTTCTATCTTATTTTCTAATTGAGAAGAATGCAAAAAGATGTAGCAGAACAATAGAGCATTCTGCTTGGTTGATCCTGTATCCTCCTACTGATGAAAGCTTCTGCATGAAAGGAGGCCATGACTGTAGATTGAACTTACATTGTCTTTATTCTCAAGACAGCTGTGATTATTGTCAACCATGTATTTTACCATGCTCTGCATTTTGTGCTACTAATGCATAAACTCAGTCTTTTCTTTAATGTCAATTCTGTTATGACTGACTTAACCTGAGACTTTTCTTTTTAAAAGGAAGTTCTTGCCCAAGTAATTACTTCAACTTATTTTTTAGTTAATACTTATGAACCGATCTTGACATTTTTCTATTACCAGTGCAATTCTGTGGGCAGTGGAGTAAAAATGCATAAATTAAACTTTAAAAATTTCAAAATATTCCTGTTAAAGACCTGAGTCATCCATCCATCTTTATACATTCACATTTCTATTTCTATGTGCTTGCAAAAAAACCCAAACACTGTCCATAATGTGACATAATTTGTAATTTACCTTGTTTATTATTACCTTCTTTTCTGTACTTTAGGAGAATTAAGAAATCTTTCTGCATTTTGTTCCGTAACCACCAGTGCCTAACAGGGGAAGTGTACACCTTTTGCAGTGTTTTCTGAAGTGTTTTCAAAATTTTTGAACAGTTTCTTTTGTATTCACTGAATAAAGTACCAATTTCATCAAGAGAACTTGTGAAAACATTTTGTATTTTAATTTCCTCAATATATACATAAACACATCTTCAGCTATAACTTAAGAAAAGTCTTAGTGGGTTTTTCCCACGGGGCTATGTTTGTTACAACGGACAGTTCTGCAGATCTCTGCTTCAATCTAGATGATGTGTTATGAAGTGTCTTATTTTGCTATAGATATTTAACGTAAATATTTACCTTAACTGAAATTACATCAACCTTTTTTTTATCAACTTCCAGATTTTTCAAATGAAATTTGTTCTTCTCAATACTTTAAAGTATTACTGCTTAAAAAAGAAACAACCAAAAAGCGCACCCCACAATACAAAACCAAAACCACAAACACAAAAACAATGCTTCACCAAAAAGTCTTTTCATGTAGTTGCAATTTTTTACTGCAAACCAGAACTAGATGGTGAAATTTAATTCCGTGTTAGTCACCCACTATCTACAGGTAATGCAGAAGTATCAACAGATGAAGGGAGATGTAGATGGTCTGACTTGATGATGCTCACACCTGCTTAGTAGTTGTATTTCCCCACACACTCTCTGTTCTTGGGAGTGCTAACTTTAAAAGTTGAGAGGATTCCGACTAGGACTAAAGTGTTTTGAAGTACTGCTCAAACCAGCCAGGTGGCAGGTAGTAGTTGTGAATGGGGTGATGCAGAAAGAGTATGTCTTAAATCAGACAAGGTGTTAGTGGAAAATACGGCAGACTGAGGAGAAAGGAGACTGGGCAGAAGTGGAGCAAGTGCAGGTAGTGCATTATGGTGAAGAACAGTATAGCTGAAGAGAGGCTGAGATACATGATTGATCTGGAAGGCAGTCTGGGGGTAAGTGAGAAGAGCATAGGTGCAACTGTAACCAAAAAGTTGAAGGAGAGGCTGGGTAAGCATATGCAGAAAGGAGTAAGGAAAAAAGGGCTGAAGTTTAAATGGTAGAATGCTAACCCATGGCTGCCCAGTTTCAAAACCTGGAATAGATGTCATTAGAAGTATAAATGGAATTGCTTTATTCTTTTCCATAGTAAATTAAAAACACACAGAAAGCAGAACATAAGAAATAAAACAACTATGAAAGAATTCTTCGACTTTTTGTCTTTCTTTAGTTGCATTTTTATTTTGTAGCTTCCTTTGGAAGCTGTGAACTTTATTACACAAAAAAAAATGAGCAAGACGAAAAAATATTTGTGAAACATTTCTGTATATGTCAATGTAAAACACCAGTGTGGAATTTGAAAATAGCTTGGATTGAACAATATCATTTTTTCTCCTTTATAGGAACATCATAAAAGATCAATTCCAAAAGATACTTGGAATCTTTTGTTAGACTTTGGAAATATGATTGCAGATGATATGTCCAACTATGATGAGGAAGGTAAGCAGCACTTGAATATCTTCAAAAATTGGTGCAGCAGAATTAAAAGTTTGCTTTAAATTAACAGAAGGTGCTGCTATCTTCTGTCTTAATTTGTTTACCCTTAGAGGTTTAGCTGCAATTATAGTGTCATACTTGTTGCCAAAACAGTAATGATAAGAAAATTAACTAGCTTGCTGTAATATGTAAATAGAAGATACTGTCACTCCATGAGATAGCACATGCTATTTAAAACTGCCATGCTACAGGAATTTCAGTGAAACTTTTTTTTGTACAAAAGTGCTGCTAACTGCAAGGAAATACATAATTTTTCTGCTTGCAAGGATGTCTACATGTGCATTGGGTTTTTTACCAACCTAAAACCAATTTACATTCTTGTTGCTAATCCTGCAAATCTTGTTTTGGGATGGCTATGTACAGAAATATTTCCTAAATTGTAAATGGCTTGGATAGGGATGCCATGGTTTTGCCATCAGCTAACGTTTATAAACTTTATAGTGTAGATTTTTATGCTGTAAATACAAATCTTAGTTTTTAGTTTGTACTAAGAACTATTACTGAAAGAAGAGATTCAGATGTTTAATTTATTAGGTACTTTTTCCAAGTGTTTTATAATGTCACGCTTGTTAAAGCTGGACTAGGCCAGAAATGTCAAAGTGAATTTCTGATACTTTATGTTTAGAGACTGCATCAATTTATTGCTAATAATGAGACATTAATTTCTGAATTGCTTAACTTCTTTTCAGGAGCCTGGCCTGTGCTTATAGATGATTTTGTGGAATATGCACGACCAGTAGTCACAGGAGGAAAACGTAAAACTTCCTAACACCAGGCTTGTCAATATGGACTAAACCTGCGTTCTGAACTGCATTAGGTAATGAAGATTTGTTAGCTGATAACTGTGCACATTGGTGCTGGTTTCAGTGCTTGCGATGAGATTCTGCAAACAAAACAGAAATTCTTCCTTTCTGCCTCAAGAAAATGATGGCTGACTCGTGGACACTTGAACAAACTCAGAAGATAGTCCAGGCTGTCTGTGGGCTACTGGCTTCAATTATTGTACTGGTTGTATCATATAGGATGTAGATTTTGCATGATTTTATACTTTGGAGAAGTTTAACTAGAGGCAATTTTATTAAAGTTTTGACAGCACAGCATGCCATTCAGTTCATGATCCAGAGTGAACACCAGCAGTTACATAAATAAGACTGTATGATATTGTACTTATAGTAAAAGCAGTATTTGTGGTATATAAATTAAATCCCTAAATAAAACTTATGCAGTATGTTGTACTTTTATAAAAGTTAGCTCCATGGATCTGTCCTAATACAGAATTGTAACAGAACAAGAAAAAACAAATTTATGCTTTTTTTACCTGTTTAAAATCTGTATTTTGAAGTCCTAGATGTAGAGATGGATTACATCCAGCCTTTTGTTTTCTCCGGGTGAGATTAACTTCCTCATTATTCTTCTTGAAGCGCTAGGACATGTAACAGTAGTGTTGCTGAGGAAGGCCTACTGCTCTTACACTATGTTGCAACTCTTTAATGCCCATTTTAAAGTAGACATTAAACAACCAAAGATGCTTTTATAATTCATGTACAATTATCGTAAATCAGTTATGCTTCATTGTGTGTTTCATGAATTTTAAATAAGGAACTGTTGGACTATGACTTTCAGTTTTATTTGTAGTATGACCCATATCGTGAATTGTAGCTGAATGCAGCAGCGTTATAAATGCAGTTCCTAGCACTTCTTGGAGATAACATATGTGAATAAGTCCAAAACCTTAAATGGTTGGCTTCCACTTTGGAGCGATAGGTAGGAGCAAGGAGATTTTATATTAATGATGGTAAGCATTCATGCTTCTGAATGTATTGTGCATTCAATTTTATTTAAGGAAAAAAAAAAAAGAGTAAAGTAATGCAATACCATTGATTTCAAGGTGAGTGGAGTTGAACCAATTTTTACCAAATCTGAATTTATTTAGTCATTTGTTTTCCCCCTTTCACCACCCATTGATTATGAAGTGTACAGTGTCTTCCAATGCCCGAGCACAAAAAAAGTTTTATCAGTATTCAACATGTCTTCACACAGGGCTCTTTCAAAAGCTACCTCATCAAAATGAGTTTGTCATAACCACTGTAAAAGTTTGTTAAAACAGAGTTGCTAAAGAGTATGTACAACTGTGATCAGTATATTTTCTGTAATCAGAGCTGAATAGATGCAAGATTTTTGGAAAAGATGGTGCATTGAGTTTGTAATTTATATCTGTTCAGCTCACATCAGATCATTTAAGTATTGCATGACAGCATAGTACTATATTTTGTAGTTGTGAGAGTATAAAAGCTTACAGTATTCTCTTAAACTCTAATATTTAGAGTTTCATATAAGCAGTCAGCTTTTCATTTGTGTCAATGCAACCTACAAGAATGTACATGCTGCATACAAAAAGTTTACCTTCATTCTTCCGCTTGAGAGAATTTAGGTAAGTTGTGTATGATGTTTAAAAAGCAGGATTAGGACAAATGTGAAGATACTAGCAAATTTTCTGTAATAAGAACATAGCAGGCAAGTTACAGATGCCCCATGAGTGATTTATTAGTAGCAGTCTTTCTACCCTAAGCGGTATTTCTAAATGTTAGATCTTGCAAGGCAGCCACTAGATGTCAGAGTCTCAGTCTTCAGATGCCTCTCTCTTCTGTGTAGCATTAGGTAATAAGTAATATTAAGCCAAATTATTACTTTTTGACTGCATCTTTCTGAAAGGACATTTGTGTACATAAATACAGGTATTTTGCAGAAGTCAACAGATTTAAAAACAGTATTGTGCTCTTTTTAATACATTTGACTTACCTCCTCTTTCTTCCCAAATCAAGCTATCTCTGTAGTTGTCCAGTAGGTATTGGACGAGGTGTAACATCTCATAACATCAAGTGCATTTATCTAGCCAAAAGCAATAGGATGCTTGTTACTCACACAATTGCCACTTAAAGTATATAGCTATAATATAACTGGCCAGAAGTAGTTTAATCTGTTGGTATGTGATATAACTGAATAGTTTCATAGCGCTAGAGCTTGTGAAGCATTTGTTCATGCTGAGAACTCCTTCAAATCAGCATAATGAACCTTCTACCTTTTAAAATAAATAGAGCATAAAAAATTGCATGTGGGTTAAAGTTTTTTGCCTTGTAATCTGAGGAAGAAGGAAGGGGCTTAGCACAGTATTCAGTTTCTATATATACACACACTTACTCCCTTACTCTTAAGCCTTATTCCTGTGAGGATTCTTCGTGGAAAACACCTTCCAATAAAGGAAGACTGGGCAAAATATCTCAAAATAGGAGTTGCTCCTTAGCCAGCTTCCTGGATGTAGTATGTTTTTCCCAGTCTTCTACCCATTTGAAATCACGTATACATTTTACATTCCCATAAATAATAACATGGAGTAACACCTTCACGCTTGAACTGTCATAAGAATAGATGCAAATAGACTGCTTTAAAATTATGAGTTCCTTCTGTATTTTAACAATTCACTGCTATGCACAGTTCCACATTACAGGGCACTCTGACCTGCTTTTTAGGTAAGCTGCTACAGCGGTAGCACCTAGGCTGGTCAATTTGTAATCATGTATGGCACAAGTTCAAGTTGTTTGGTGCATACAGTATCAATTCCTAGATACGCTGTATGTATTTTTAAACTTGGTGCCAAGTTCTTTGGTTTTCCATCCTGGAGTGTTTGGAACAGAGCCATAGGATTTGTACTTGCCAATTCTAAATTTAAATGTAATTTATTGTGTATGTCATGCCGAGGAGAGCAAACCTGCAGGCATCTGCTCATTCAATGCACCTGAGAGATTTTGCTGCTGAGTAAGCTGTACGTGTGTAAATCTTGTGGCAATGATGGAAAAAGGAATAAATAGACTGACAAAGGATTGAAGTCAGTCATGTGAGGTGTCTGTATGGTTTTTGTCAGCTTTCTGCTTTGGAAGCCTTGCAAAGGCTGATGGGATTGGGGGGGGTGTTTGTTTTCTGGTTATTTCTTTAAATTCTTGCATTGTTATTCCATCAGTCAGTAGAGGGCAGGGATGGTGGCTCATTAGTTTTTGATCAGTTATAATTGATGCCTGTTTTGCTCATTTGTGCCACCTTTAAACTTTGAAGTTTACTGCGTTCCGCTGCAGTGCTGCATCCACTCCATGTACCTGCTAATGAACAAATTCTTCAGTTTGCATCATTAGTTTGTACTGGCAGCAAGGAGTGCAGTTGAGGGCAAGTCTTACGCAGTCGTAGGCTCTGAGATGTGCAGGAGAAGCAGCAGACTTGGAAATCTGTGCAAAGACCTTCAGAGGTATGTATTACACTGTCCTTAATTCTCTTCCAAAAGTTTAAAGCCAAATAAATAAGTTATCCTCTGTACTTTCCCATTGGCATCACTCTCCAGTGGCTTCATCAACCACTGGCTTCTATGGTATCATGAGTCTCTTCCTTACCCCTTAAGAGCGGAACTGCTGATTCTGATACTTGAACCATGGCAAGCTCTTTTCAAGTGTCAGCACCTCTCAGTAGGTTGCCTCAGCTGACGCCAACCAGCATTTGGCACACCAAAAGGCATAACCCTTCTGAAAGGTGTAAATCGTAAGGCTTTTGAAACCATGAAAACCTTTTAAAAATATATATTCAGCAAAAGGTGGTTTGTGACCTTTGCAGTATATACAGTATGCTGGGTGGAATTAGGTGAGGATGGCGCATCTCTAAAATGGGCTTTTTTGTTATGAATTGTTGACAAAAGGGGTCCTGCAACTGCAGCTACTTCTACAACCACATGCAGAAAATTCCATATTTCAGAGAAGTGGGTACAGTGTTCACCTCTTAAGGGCATTCCAGTTTTGACTGAGTATAATTATTGGGATATTTCCTCTTGTTGCTTATACTTGGCAAATTCTCATGTGCTTTTTCTTGTGCCTCTTACAAGTAGTGAAATACTCATACCCTGGAGGATTTCCTGTCACAACACAGGCTTTCTGTCAAGAGAGTAAAGAGCAAAGAAGTCTGCGGTGCTGTGTTTTTTCTTTCTTTTTTTATGAGGCAGTGGTGTAAAACTGTATGAAAATGATTCATCCCCACTATTAAAGAATTGAGTAAAACCTGTTATTTTTTCCCTGGATCTCAATGAGTGTATTCTAGAATTAGTATTGTTTCCTAAAGGAATTATCCTGTTACTAAAGTGAAACCCTTCACTACAGTAGTTACAAAGGTGCAGATCTGAGACAAGTCTGACACCCATCTGGTGCCAACCGTTCTTTTCCAGGGTATGTCTCTGAATCCTTTGGACAGGTGAACTTGGAACCACGAGCATTCCTCTGCTGAGTGTTTTTGAATAGCGGAAGCATCCCTCAGTCATGGATTAAATACTTGGGGTGTAGTAGTATTTAAAATGCTGAAGGGCTTGTGTTGGCAGAGCAGAATCAGCCCATGTTCCATTTGCTGGTTCATTTATTCATGAAACTAACAGCTCCTTTACAGCCCGTGAGCCCTCCCCTGGGTGGTGGAGATCATTGATCCGCACCCCCTGACGTGGAGGAGGCAGAGATGGAGCCACGTTGGCTGAGGGTCTGCTTTTGTCTTCTCAAATAGGGTGAAAATACAGCATCTTACCAAGACAAAAAAGCCTTTCTATTCCGGCTTCAAGAAAGCTGAAGAGGGACTTTTTATAAGAGCAAGTAGTGATATAAGGGAGAATGGCTTTAAACTGGAAGAGGGGGGATTTAGATTAGACATTAGGAAGATGTTCTTTACTGTAAGGGTGGTGAGGCACTGCCTGAGGTTACCCAGAGCAGCTGTGGCTGCCCCATCCCTGGCAGCATTCAAGGCCAGGTTGGGCAGGGCTTACGAGCAACCTGATCAAGCAGAAGGTGTCCCTGCCCATGGGTCGGAACTGGGTAATCTTTAAGGCCCCTTCCAGCCCGAACAGTTCTATGACGTGATTCTTTGATTCCCATTTTTTTTTCCTGGATTCTCCCTGTCTGGTCATATCTGCACTGATGAGAGGACACCAAAGCTGTGTTTTTATCTGATTTAACATTTACCAAACATTTTTTGCCAGCCCTACTTGTTTGTTTATTTGTTTTTCCTATTATGAATAACTATGGTAAGTGAATACTTACTGATCTTAATAGAGTTACTTTATTTTGGCTGTGTTTAAGACATGCAAGTATGTTATTTTACAGATAATTGTCTCCTTTGGGGGAAGTAGGGGTAGATACAGTGTGCCTAACATACCTCTGCCCAGAAAGCTCATAGTGACTTGAACTACCACATGAAAAAGAGACCATGTGCAATTAACAAATTGAAGAAAAACTAAATTCTTTGTTGCATGTTCTGTTTTGCAGGGTTGAAAAGTAGAACTTCTCTGAAATTTCCTCTGGGTTTTCATTATAGCCATATTTCCAAAGCCAAACACTTTACTCCTAATTTGGGCTGTGTTACGAGCAGCCAAGTGTGCATGCAGCAGGGTAAAGTCCACTGGAGGCAAAAGGGCAGCACAACTGCCAGCCACATTCAGAAGGAAGAGATAAATGGAAAACTAAGAATAGCTTTGCCCATTTTCAGGACGGAACCTTCCATCTGACGAGGCCCTTACTACCTCTCCAAAGTGCCTCAGCAGGTGTTTTCTCCTGTCCTTGCTTTGCAAATTCCAGTTCCCATAGGCTTCCAAATTGTAATGCTCTGTGGAAATAGAGAAGGGGTGGATGCCGCAGAAGGGTGCATGGGCCTGTAAAGGAGACATCAACATCGGTGCTTCTGCCTGGTGTGTTTTTTGTGAGCTGCCTTGGCCTTAGTTGCCCATTTTGAGTGTTCACTTTCAGACATGCAGAACCAAAGGTAACTGACAGCACAGAGGTGACACTAAGATTACCTCTGTGCTGCTTCACTGCAATGGTGTGGGCAGTGATGCCTGTTCCCACAGCCACACAGGGCAGAGGGGCTGACATCCTCACTGCTCATGCCACGCTATCTCGCTGTCTCTAGAGGAGGCTGGCCACAGCCCCACTCGGCCCTGCATTTCCTCTGGTTCCTACATAATGCCCCCGGTACCCTAAAGCATAACTGCCCTTGTTTTTTTGCCTTTTGCATGCAGAATTGTTCCTTCCTAGCAGTGAAGAGACTCTCAGAGACCTCTTCTCAATACTCAGCATTTCCATTACCCAAGCTGTGATCTTTAAAATGAGAGAGTACTAACAGAGGCTGCTTTCACCACACTGGCACCTTGCTCCTTACAGTATAGAATAGGAATAGTGAGGCTTATCTGTGTTCTGAAACTGCACTGAGGTTTCTACACATGTCAATAACTGAGCCCATGATTAACTACTTAGTGCTCTGAGTGGTAGGAGGATGATGCATCCTTTACACTGCTGGCTTTTTCCATCCAAATGGCAATCAGTACTGCTTTCTGGAAGACATCCAAGAAAAACAAAGACCTTTCCCAAGTTATTCTTTATCAAAATTACAGTCAAGCCAATCACAGGTTTCTGTTTATCTACCTAAGTTTATATTTACATTCGTATTTCTGTCTCTATCTTTAAAGTAGTAGTAGTTTGTGAGTGTTTAAGACAGCGTGGATGGTGACTCAGAAGCACAATCTGAGTCAGTCTCAGCAGACTCCTTGAAGGAAGATACTGAGCCTACACGGAGATGTAGTTGTGGGCAAAACACATTTAAAAAGCTGCAAGACTGCAGATCCCCTTCTTGCAGTGCATGGCAGAAGCACGGCAAAAAATGGCAGTAACAGAATGAAGCGCATCATTGCACAAGTATCCAGTTTGAAAGGACAGTATCAATAAAGCTTGGTTCTTACAAAGTGAGATTTCTTCATACGTGAACTTTCTTAAACTCAGAGGATGCCATTTAGATACATCTTTCAGATAGTTTCCTTCCAGATTTCAAATGTGGGCTGCACCTTAGGAAAAAGTCACTCTTTGCCAGGGATTAGAAGGGGTGGGACAGAAGCTGGTGTTTTGCTTGGTGTTTACTCACGACTGAATTAGCAAAACATCCTAGGTGGAACAGAGTAAGAGAGCTGCTCACAGGGTATCGCCATAAGGCACAATTAAAAATGGGAGAGGCTGTCTGCGTTTGACTAGATTTCTTCCAGCCTGACCCCTCATTCGAGTGTTTACAGTTTGGGAACCCCTGTTTGCCACAGGTTTTCCTTCTGACTGGTCCCTGAAAGGGAGCCTGACTCCAGCATATCAGAAAAGGGAAGGGAAATATTAACTTACAAGTTATTAAATAAATGAACACCCCTGTGGAGGCATCTGCTTTTCTGGGTGTAGAGTTACTTATGCTGGGTAGGGCTAAGGACTTCCTAGCTTGCTTTACACTGGGGTGCAGAAACAATTTTGTGCTTCGCTTTGCAGGTCCGCTCTTGTGGTTGCATTGAACAAAGCCCCTGAAAAATCCCTGGGTTATGAAATATTTCCTCTCCGTCGGGTCCTGGACAAGAGATGGCATCTGCAGAGCCAGAAAAGGAAATCCTTGCCTTATAGAGCGCGCTCCTGGTGTGACACAATGGCTGATATAAAGTGTTGGGGGAGCTGAGCTGAAGGCAAAGGAACAAAGGAAGATTGAGATTCGGTGGCTGTCTCAGACAAAAGGAAAGCGGAAAGTGTCTCGGGATGGATAAATTTAAGGCTGCGCTTGTGCTGGCAGGGGTTGGGGATGCTCTCGGTTACCGCAATTTCTCCCGACAAAACAATGCTTTAGGTGCAAAAATCCAGCAGGAGCTGAAGGAAATTGGAGGGCTTGAGAACCTGGTGCTCTCTCCTGACAAGTGGCCAGTAAGTGACAACACGTTCATGCACATGGCTACAGCAGAGGCTGTCATCACAGGTAGGTACGACAGGACTAACAGATGCAGTCTGGAAAGGAGCAAAACTCTCTAGCTGCTGCTTTTGTTAGTTATTCTAAGCCTGAGTGCTGGGGAAGTCATGAGAAAGTGTGTCAGAAATGCTGCTTATGTGAATGATAATGTACATTAGCTTCTCTCCTGTATGAGCGTAATCCATGACTACCACCCAAACTGGAGAGTTTTGATTTCTTGAGTGTGAAGGAGTTCTCCTTATATTTTTCCTAAGTTTATACAGTTGGTTGAAGCTCAAAGACTGAAGTATCACATGTCCAACATAACAAAAATAATTGCTAAGTAGGTTATCTGTATGCTGGAATACATCGGGGAATAATATAACCACTAGAGATTCTTCTGTAAAAGATAAGAGCTCTTCTGAGTGAATTTTCGCATGTTTGTGTCCAGAACTCCAGGCTGGAGTAGAGTCCTTTAATACCTCTTTCAGGCTGAAATCACTAGTGCTGTCTCCTTTTTGCTGCCCCTTGGGTGAAGGGTTGCCCTGCAAGGCCAGAAAAGGAACAAACTGCTTTATAAGGAGACTTCTGTGTCTTTAGTAAAAAGAAATATTCTAACATGTTATGTTTATAATAAAGTTTGAATAGTGGAAGTTATTACTGTATGTCTTCTAAAATCGCAAGAGTTTGAGAGAGAGCAGTTGTTTTTCTTAAGGTAGTAATAGTCTTTTGTAAGATATGACAATATTTGTATTGACAATTTAACCCATCCAACTAGAGCTTTCTGAGACTAAGATCATCGTCAAAAGTACCCCAGAAGACAGTGACCATTCAGCAGTATTTTGCCTCTTCAGAATTAATCCATTTTTTGATATCTGTAAAGATATTCCTGATTTTTCCTAAAACACGTAACCCCGGGTAACTAACAGAAGCAGAAGCTCACAATGCAGCTAAGTATCCTTCACGTCAATGAAATTTCCCTTGTGCTTCTGTTTCACCCCTTTATCTGCCTGCTTCCAATCAGCTCTAAATTTAGCACACAGAGATCAGTTGAAGAGTGTGTTGGACACTTCATACTTGGCTATTAGCTAGCCAATGGTTTAAGGGGTAGCTAATACTCTAAAGATAAGGGCAAGATGTCAGCCTATCAAGGAAAAAGATGACTAACATATTTCTGAATATAGGCTATGATTAAATACGTATCATATTTTTCTTGCTTATTGAACTTTCTAAAACCATAACTTCTGGGTAATCAAGCAGTTAGACTGACAGTGAAACAATAAATCTCACTCCTTAAATATAGCAGGAGTACTGTGTCTCTAAAGAAAAAGTCTCAGCTATAATTTCCATCAGCTGTGTTTATTCTACACTCCCATTTCTTTGGCCTGATCAAACAAGCTTTTTAGAAAGGTGCTTTTATGGGCTGGTGAGAAAGCTGTAAGCTGGAGTGGGGGATTTTAATAAGAAATCTTCCATTTCATAGTAACATTGGTGGACAGGGAAAAGTGAGTCTTCCTCTAAGCTTCCCATAGGGGAAGCAGAACTACTCCTGCCTGCAGCCCTGTCTTCTCCTGGCAAGGGGAACACAAAAAAGCCATGGGGTTTGCTTATGGCACAGCCTGCATGCCAAATCACCCAGGTCAACAGAGGTGAAGCCAAAGAAGGTCTGTGAGGGGCCCTGCCTTCCTCATGCAGCGGGGAGCCCTCTCTGCTCTGGAGACTGAGATTTTAAAGTATATATCAGCTGTCTGGGACACTACCAGCAGCTAAGCATGATGCAGAGGTTTGTGTTAAGGATGAAAGCAGTTCTCACCTGGGGAGGTGATTTTGGTCGGCGCTTTGCTACTTGCAGGGAGAACATCCCAGGAAGGCCGTGGCCAGAAGCAGTGGGGGCTGTGGGCACTGCTGCAGACTGAGCTGGTGCTCCCCAAATGCACCATGTGCACACACTGAAAAATTTACCGTATAATGACAGATAAACGCCATGTCTGCTTCCAGCAGGAATCTGTCCCGTAAGAGAGGAATGAGAACAGCATCATAAAACCCAGGGGAACTATTCCTCCAACAAGAAAAACCTGAATCATGGGTAACAAAAATAAGGGTCCTTTTCTAAAGAAAGAACCTGTCCTATTGACTTCATGGCTGAGAGAACACCCTGGATCCAGGTGCAGGAACTGCGGTCGGCTCGGGCAGCCTGAAGGTGCTGGACCACAGGAACTCTGGCTCTGGCTCTTCTGCAGAAGCTGCTGAGCCATAAATCCTGCTCCTGGCTCACATCCGGATAAACAGACACCCAATTCCTAAATGTGGAGAGAGTCGGCAGCTTGAAAGTATCTTGTTCCTTTAGGATTGCATGTGGGGTGGCCAGCGTAACTGACACGTTATTTTTTATGTGAAAGGAAAGGAATCTTGGTTTTACCCTGCATCTTTATTTGCCTGTCTGAATAGCTATTACTTTAGTGTGGCTCTGGCTTGCAGGGCTCCAAATTTTCTCTTAAATTAAGCCTCTTCTGTGGATTTCAAGAAATCACTATCTTTAACAAAATTAAGGTATTTTTAGAAGAACTTCCCCTGCTGTGTCATTCAATCTGTGCGTCAAACCAAGTGTTAAATGGAGTTTCTCTAAGTACGCAGAATGATGTACAGACGGATAAATGGACAAATCCCAATGGCCTCCTCAGTTCCCACTGATTGCACAACTGTAATAGATGCCAGTGGAAGCAAGAGCCAGGGGCAGGGCTCTTCAAGTCCAACAACATGCAAGAGCAGCTGAGAGAAGCAGCAATACTGAAGAGACTTCCCCCTGCGTGTTTAACAGGAGGAAGGCTCCTCCTTAGGCAAGCCTGTAAGCCTTGGTAAAAATAAGCAGTAAACAGACATTTTTAGTAAACTTATTCCAGAAAGAAATTTATCTGCTGGAAATACTACAGACTGTAGGGATTCTCTACCCTTACTGATCTTTACATTCATTTTTATGAAAGCTCACCCTTCTGGCTACTGGCACAAAATATTGGGATGCCTGCATGGAAGACCTACAAATTTTAGGCAAAATAAATGCAGGTTAAAAAATAAGGTCACTGATTTGCTCTTGTGTTTGATCCCATGCCTCTTAATAAAACCAGTGATAGTTTAGGACAGAAATAGGCTTCCGTGTTTAAGCTGGATTCACATCTGTAAATATCGGCAAAGGCACCACCTGAGCCAGGCACAGCTGGCTTCTTGTGCACACCCTCTCCCCACAGCAGCCACGCACTCACCTTAAACACCTCTGCAAATACTTCATACCATGGAGCCTAAATAAAGCCTCGAGCACCTACTGCTGACAAACAGAATGCCTTCATCTTTCCAATTAAAGGAATTAAAAGTGGAAAAGAATGCAGGAAAAGATGAGAACAGGGAGACAAGATTGTTCTCCCTCCAGCCCAGTTTCGAGGTGTGTAAACACGTGTTGACAGTGGCACCAGAAACATAGTTCAGTGTATTGGAAGTAGAAACAGGAACGTTTCTTAAATGCATAATGAACTTGCTGGCTTTCTGTGCTCTCTTGCATTTCTGCCTTCAAGTAGCAACCTTCTCTTCCTATCTCTGAGCAGACTACCGGAGTTTAGAAGACCTGTACCGGGAGCTGGTAAAACGCTACTTGGATGCTATCGATAACCTCTCGGGGAGGCGGCCAGACCCTGCTACCATTGAAGGCTGCAGGGAATTAAAACCAGACAACCACCTCCTTGCTTGGCACACACCGTTCAATGAAAAGGGTATGGTATCATTTCCATTTATAGATCATGGCTTGAATAATGGATGCTTTCAGCATTTGTGGCTGTATGGAAATTGTTTCCTTTTCCCCCCTTATATCGAAGGCCACTACCTCTGAAATGTTTCCGTGCTTGCCTAAGGATGGCAAGAGATCTGCCAGGAACTCCTTCTGTAGGGCACTATGTCCTCTCATAAATGTACCCTTCCCACTATAACATCTATTTAAAGAGACTGGTTTTGGCTTTGTTTCTTGGGGCCCAGACCTTTGACCTTCAGTTTAATGGTTATTTTAAGAAATATTTTCTGCCAGTTTTTGTTTAAACATTTGTAATCTTGCATCTTTTTAGTGATGGCAGATCTGAAACAAAAAGCCAAAGCTGAAAACTGTTCTAAGTATCAATTCATTCACTGGAGAGAAAACAGAGACTTTTCTCCAAGTGGATGTCCCACTATAATAACTGTTCTACTTAATGGCTGCTACTGCTAAACCCAGGACATCCCTAATATTAAATCCTAACCCTGTTTCCCTAACTCTGACCCTCTCATTCTTTCTCTTTACGACAATTTCATTTTATGATGAATTGCATTTCTACTACAAGTTAAATAACATGCATGCATCTATGTGCACATGCATATGCATATACCCATACAGTACCATTAATCTTGAAAGCCTGTGGAGACACTGCATCATCAGAGGAGGTAGACCTAGACAGCCACAAGATGATGGCAGTGTCACATAGACGTGCTGTGTTGGTGTGTCACTCTACCACCACAGTATATATTGGCACCATTCAACAACATTGCATATTGATGAAACATCGTGGCAAAGACCTTGTGGCACAATGCCATGGCTATTTCTGGGTCTCTACAGTCAGTTGTCTTGGGCACAAAAAGCATCCCTCACTCAGCCTCCCACTTTTCACAGCAGCTCTTGGGAGAGAAAAGGATCCCCTCCCCATGTGTTCTGCCCACCCTGCTATTAGCCAGGTAGATCTGAGAAAGTGCTCCTTCAGCAGTCAACATGTCTTCTGATTGACAGCAAGTAACACCTTGTCAAATAACTGTGGGAGCTGCTGCTGGTCCTAGGCAGCTTTTGACACCTCCAGCAGTGGAGAATGGCTGTTCTGTGGCCCGTTGCTTTGTGAGAGCTACGTCTCTTCTTTTAGCCTTCCTCCTCCCCAGCTTTTTGTGATAACCTATTTGTTTCTGGGACACTCTGGTGTAGAAGGATCTAAAATGAATTCCTGACTTGAGACCCGGCATCTAAAGCCCACCTTTTCCCTCCGGTCTGACAAAGAGCATCCTGAACATCTCAAGAAGCCTTTTTTCCACCATGAGAGCAAAAGAACCAGTGACCTGAGGTGGGGATGTTCAACCTCCTGTGGCACCTGACACTGCTATGGACATAATTAGCTTTTTAATTGAATTTTCATAAATTTCTTCTCAAAGCAAAAACATTCCATGGGCATTGAATGCCTGGCAGTCAGATGGTATTTGGATGGGCTGGAACCAAAATGCTGTTTTCCTGTGGTCATTCTCTCTTATCTAATTTCTAGCAAGAATTCATATGCCAGCATTCATGGACTAGTGAAATCTTCCCTTAGGTAATTTTGAATTGCTTATATGATGCTCCTCTGCTCAAATCCTTGTGGGTGTAGTCAGCACACTGAGTTCTCAAGTCAAACTGTCCTGTGTGTCTCTGCCATCTCATGTTGTGCTCATTGCCACACTCATTGCAGAGCTATCCGGAATTATGTTAAAGCCTGGTAAGATTCCTGCAGCTGCCAGAAGACCTGCCCAAGGCGTCTAACACCTTCCATCTTAACAGCTTGTTTCTAATTTATGATGTTGATAAGTTCAAGTGTAAAATTTTCACTACTGTTTGTCAGGTTTTCTGTCAGCATTTGTTTAAAGTTTCGATGCAGATGAATGCCATTTCTGAGACATGGTAAAAATATTTTGTTTCATTGCCAAAGCCTCAAATTGTTCAGAAGAGAATTGCTGATGTGTGAGAGCTGGAACTGAAATCTGGGTGAGATGGTACCCCTTGAGCTACAGATGTGCCTTCAGAGCCATCATGAAAGGCCAGTCAGATGGCAGGATGGGTCTACCCTGAACTGTGTGCAGGCTGAGGCTGCAGCATCTAAGCAGGTCTTTATTTGCAGCTACTGGAGCAGCTGCTGTGCTTCCTAGTAGCACGTGAGAATGGTGCCTTTTTGCTGGTGGCATTGGTAGAGAACCATGGGGAAAAAGTGTGGGCTAAACACAGAAGGCTGAGGAACAAAAATGAAGAGAAGGGTAAGCCGCAGACAGGACATAAAGGTACAAGGCTGTAAGTTCTCATGCAGAAAGGTCTGTAGTCAGAAAAGACACCCTTTTCAGGGCTTAGAAGCCATCAGATTTTTGGCAACCTGATCTGAGTTGAAGATGTCCCTGCTCTTTGCAGGAGGGTTGAATAGATGAGCTTTGAAGGTCTCTTCCAAACCAAACTATTCTATATGATTCTGTTTGTTATTCCACAGATGTAGAGTGAAGAAAAGCACACTGATGTGTTACAGACTAAAAGAGATTAATCTAGTGCATGGATGAAAAATATGTAATTAGAAAATGTCAACACAGCTTTTGTGACAAGAAGTCACACCTCAGAATCCTATTAGAAAGCTTATGAAGTAGCAAATAAACAGGAGGGAAAAGGAGACATTGTGAAGATGGTTTGTTAGGATTTCCAAAAGACTCTCAACAAGGTCCCTCACCAAAGGCACTAAGTGATGAGGCACTAAGTTGGTACAGGATGGTGAAAAGGTTCTCCTGAGGATAGACAACCGGATAAAAGACAGAAAATGAAGAGCTGGAGATTGCAGTCTGCCTCCCCCATAGAGAAGGAGGAACCTGTGCTGGAGCTCTGTATTCAACGTGTCCACAAACTATCCAGAAATGCAAGAGCATAGTGGGTTGGCAAAGTCAAAGTTCATGCGATGCAGATCTGTGGAAGATGCTCATAGTGAGGAATAACTGTGTGGGACTAGCAGAACCAAATGCAAAGTAGATGAATGAAAAGCCATAAGGGAAGGAGGGGACCTAATTTTATATACATAGTTGCAGTTGCTGCTTCAGTTACTATTCAGGGAAGGGACAAAAGGATCATGGAGCTATAGTAGTTACACAAGAACGTTGCTTTAGTGCTCAGTAAGAGCCAGAAGGTAAATAGACGCTTAGAAGTGACTGGGAAAGGAACACACAGCAAAACACAAAATATGTTTACACCACTGTATAAATCCATAGCTGCTCTTCTTGATTACTGTATATAATCTGGTCCCTCCCTCCAAAAGTATGTAAGAAAACTGGAAAGGATACGAGGAAGTATGGTTAGATCAGTAAAAAACTGCTTCCATAGGCTATGATGTCTGAGACAGTACGATACAGACCTGTAAAGTGATAGATAGCGTGGGCAACATGAGTAGGAACAGGGAAAGCCCACTGTCTCCTCCAGCACAAGAATTAGAGACTTCAAATGAAACTGGCAAGTCATGAGTTTAAAGCAAGCAAAAGGAAGGACTTCTCCACACAACATCAGATTAAGCTGCACAACCATTTTCCAATGCCAATTTGCAGATGTTACAGTTCAAGAGTTCAAAAAAGGGCTGGACAAACTCACCCAAGGGAAATCCTTCAAGGGTTATTGAGCAGAAATACCAACAGCCTGCTGCCTCCTGGATCAGGGAGGCAAATTGTCAGGCTAACCTTTGCTCTGACTGTGGAGGACAATCCTTATGTTCTTACACACATCTCACCTCTTGCTTGGACTAGTCTCACTGCCCCTTACTTCATCGATGTAAATGGTAGATACTGAGACATGGGAGCTAACAGCTGCTACTCACCTGAAGCCCTGTCTAGGCTTAATGTTACTGCATGTGATGGTAGTTTTCATTACTGAGTTTGCTTGTCTGCAGAGGGTTCTAATATGACTTCCTACACTGAGGAAACACAATGAATTTGTAAATGCAAGCTCCTTCAGACCAGCAGTCAGATTACTGTAGTGCATCACCCACTTCAGATATACTGAGAGATGTTATTTAATTAGCAGCTCTGTATAGCACCACACCTTTTCCTCGTGGATAACCAGCATGGAATATGTCCTTTGGAGAAACCAGGACTGCATAGTGAAGAAGACTCTCATCCGGTGCTCTGTGGCAGCAGATGGTTTAATGAAGACTGGTCTTGCAAGCAGGGAAAGATATGTTCTCCTAGTTAAGCTGACTGGTGTTCTGGAAGACTGGGTTTCTTTCCTAGCTCTTCCTTGTGATTTCTGTGTGATCTCTGGGATAAGCAGACAGTTTGATCTGTTCCTGACTCCTTATAATCAGGTGCTACAGCTGCAGCATATGTGAGCTACGCGAGCAAACACATGACTTGCTGGACAAAAGTACAGCCTTTTCTTCAGGAGCAGTGGTCAAAAGTGTTCTGGAGATGGCCCTTTTCACTGTTATCAGGAAGGCTAGTGAGGGACGAGAATGCAAGCTCTAGGCTTGCAGGGAATAAAATGGCATTTTGCAGATCCTTTCATGGCACATTTATCAGGTGTCTGGCCTTTTGGAGGAGTTATTGGACACAAAATTTGCACATTAGACTCTGAAGAGGAAGGGAAGAAATGTCTTCAGCTAACCTAACTGGGTCATCCACCCATGGTGCTCACTCAGGACAGCTGCTTTCCACAGAGAAGAGCTCTTCCCTCAAGAGAGAAGTTCTGGTCCTAGTTGGTCTGTATTGCACCTGGAGATGTCAATGGGTGGCTTATATTAGTTTGGTTCAGGCTTTATTTTGGCTTGAAGTAATGCTTCCTGACACCACCACTAAAATACTTTGATCACATTCATGATCTTAGGACATCTGAGCTGGAGCCACTTGGGATGACACTCAACAGCAAGCAGTGCTCCAAGAGAGCCCCTGGTGCTGTGCACCCATAGCAGGTATAGCCCAGGAGAGCAGCTAAGGTGTCTTCTCAAGATAGGTGACTAAAAGCCCTGACCCTGGCTCCTTGGTATCTGCTGCTTCAATTCACTCTGGCCCGTAAATTGTTCCCACTATGCCATCATACTGGCAAATGGAAATACAGCCTTTCTCCATGTTGCCTATCTGGGAAAGACTGTGCTCCTAACACAGGTTCCACCCAGGCTAAAATTAGGAGGCATAAATATGCCCCTTATCTTCCAGGGACCAAGTAGAGAAATGCTGATTGGTCTCAGCTATATCCAAGGTCACTGGGAAGTGTGATTGAGCAAAGACAGCTCTGAAAAATGCCAAGTACTTCGAAAAATCGTACTCTATCCATCTCAGGGTGGGGGCCTGCAACGAGTTAATGCTTTTTTGGGTATTGGCTTGGTAGCTGCAAAGAGGAGATAATCACTTCACTGGTGCCTTGTGAAGATAAGCTCATTAAAACTTCTGTGGGATCCTGATACTACTGTGATAAGTACTGCAAAGAAACTCATTAGCAAATTTAACTCTCTAGTCAATTAAATATTTGAAAGTTCAACACCTGAGATCATGCACTGAATGCTGAGGATTAAAAGAAAATCTGAATTAGCTATTCAATAAATAAACTCTGTGCTGCACAAGGCAGAAATTCTGAAGACCAAGCTTAGTAAGTGCAGGCTATAGCCTAACAAGTGCGTACACTAAATTCAGTTTGCACGGAAAACTTCCGTTCTGACATTGCCTGACTTTGGAAGAGTTGGCTCCATAGCTTTTAATTTCTTTTAGTTTTGGACACACTATTTTTGTACTTAGCAGAAACAATTTTGTGAACTAGCTGTGGGGTTCTCTAGGATGAAACATGAATTAAAATTGTAAGATCAGCTGTGATAATCATACAAGGAGTTTTAATTGTGTGCTTTCAGCATGAAGACTACTAAAATAAGGGCGTCGTAAAAGTGTATTTGTTTCTCAAACTTCTGTTTCTAGTGCTGGCATCTGGAGAAAGCAAAAGAAGCAGTGTCAGCCAAGAAAGAGTAAAGATGGCATGAGAGTTTGAATCAAGCAAGCGCTGTGGACAAGAGAACACACTGCTTTCTGAACCCACTATGCCCTTCGTAGCACCTGAGTATATTGGAATATCCCTGTAAAACCACAATGACTGTGTAGAAGCAAAATTCCTTGCAAAAACTTTCAAAACTTTAAACTCATTTCCCATGCATGAGGAGTTCCCACACATGACTTGAATAAATAAAATGTGCTTGTTTCACATTCTACCGCATATTTGTGTATCATTAGTCTCCTTTTAAATGCTTGGCATTATCTTTTTATTTTAGGTTCTGGATTTGGAGCATCCACAAAAGCCATGTGTTTAGGGATGCGGTACTGGAAGCCGGAAAAGTTGGAGTCCCTTATTGAAGTGAGCATTGAATGCGGACGAATGACTCATAACCATCCTACAGGTATGATCCACTGATTTACCAGCTGAAGCCCCTAAGGCTGCTTGTTGCTTCTGCAGGGACTACCATGGCTCCTGTGATTTCACCTGGTTAAGCCCCTTCTGCTTTGCAGACTTCAAGGCCTCCATTTGAATTTTGGATAATATATAAATGTATATATTACTTCTATCAGCTTATATATTTGTATGTTATGCAGAGAACAACTTCAAGTGTTGGAGTTTTCCCTCCTAAAATCCCAACAACGAAAGACAACCTGTCTTATCCAAACCATACTCATATCGCTTGCCCTGATCTAAATTTAGAACTCACGTTTCTAGATGACTCACTGTTATCATGCAAGTTTATGGTTCAAAGGATAACAACATTTTTCTCTTGATAGGTTTTGTCTTATCCAGTCACCGTAGGTAAAGGTAGAAAACCCCCAGAAAATTTAACTCCATGTATTTCAAAACACAATCTGAAATATTCTCTAAACAAAACACAAATGAATAGATTTAATGTTGTTCTGAATATTCAGGTCTGCCATTTACATAATTTTATGCTACAAAAGCATGTATTCATTCTATCTGTTTTAAACAGCAATAAATAAAAGCATAATGAATGGTGACACGTTCAACACAGTGCTGTGAACAGTCAGAAAAACCATCAGGATGACATAAAATTAGATGAAATGAGCTTAAAGAGAAGCAGAAAGTATCATTAAGCCAATAAGTCCCATGTTGCATTAGCAGCAGTAAGTTGATTGCAGCCCGGGTCTCCCCCTCAGTAAGGACTTACTAGAGCCAGAAAATGGCATCAAGGAGCACCCAAGTTGTCAAACACCTTCCATATAAGGAGAAATTACATCCAGAAGGAGTTTTCAGCTGGGAGAAGAGACAAGTGGCACATCAGGGAGTCAGAAAGGAGCAGGGTGGAAGGCCCACCATGGACTTCACTACCATGAACTGAAGGGTGCCAGAGAAAGGCCAGTTGTGACTCTCATAACTCAAAGACTTGAAGACAAAACTCAGCTGACATGTCAGTCAGGACTGAAGCAAACAGACAAAAGGAATATTTCCCAGTGTTGTGTATAGTTAAGCCACAGACCTTGATGCTACTGGCAGCTGTGAAGCCCACAGATACATCTTGCTTCAAAGAGGATCAGGCAAGTGGATGAGGAAGGCTGTCACTGCTAAAAACAATCAAGCTGTGTAATTAAAGTTGCCCATAAGCTAGGCTAGCAGTTCTGGGGAGTGGAGAAGCCAAACCAGTGAGGTTCACTCCACACTAGCATTATTTGCAGAGCAAGAGACTTCAGCTGGATCTTGCTTTCTTACCTGGTGTGAGGGCTGCAGCGAATAGGGGGAGCAGAGCAAGAACAGCAGGGGAAGGGAGCTACCTGGGGAGTGGGCAGGAGGAGACAGCCAGTCCCCCAAAAAACTTATGGGCACACCCCAATCTCTATCACCCTCTGCACTGGCTTGTCCCACTGCCTCCTGCTAGCCCTTTGCATCACCCTCTAAACCCTCCGCTGCCATCCTCACACTTAATGTGTCACTCAAGGATCTTTATGGCAGTTGGGGTACATGCTGTCTGTTTGAGTGAGACCCTTTGAGCTTGCTTAACCTGGGTTTTTATTCTTTATGAAAGATGCTTTCTGGGTTAGATGTACCTTGGGTTTGATTCAGTATTGCAGGCATTACAGCAGAAAAGATTAGTAATTGTCTCATCTGGATGTGTAACCTCCTAAAACAATTGAGTTTTATCTTCAGCAAAATACGTGAAGCTAGTGTTTACCTCTAAGCACAAGTGAATGCTTTTGGACTCCTGCACAGCAAGAAGCACATGCATCAATACTTCACTCACCCAGGGCTTCTTTAAATGACTGAGTTGTTTTCTTAACCTTCTTTTCCATGGATTGGTTTTGTTGTCTTTGAGAGAATGCCAAGAGCACAACCAAATACTGAAAACGAGGCCCTCCGTGTTTGATGTCATGGAGGGGTTGAGTGCCCATCAACAGAAAGTTCATCTTAAGTATATTTGTGTCCAAAGTGGAAGACTTTGACCTAACTAGGCAGGCAGACAGCATGTCTTAGTTGGATAATTGCTTCTCTCCTCTAAGGAGACATGGGAAAAAAGCCATTGTCCAAGTAAGACATGGACTTGTCCCCTTAGGATAAAATGCACCACAAACAGTTGTTAGGTCTAACAACCACATCCCTTGTGATGGATGAATCTGCAAGCAAGCTGATATAGCTTGTAACTGAACCACTTTACACAAGTCATGTATTTCACATGACTTCAATTAGAAGATTTTCAGTATCACATTAGTGGATCATATTTATTTTTGACCCTTACCTCGATTTCTGTCACGTTACACCACTGAGAACAGAAGCGCCCTCTTATGTAAAGTAAGTTGTAGACCAACAGACACCACACATTAGCTAAGAACCTCAACATGCCATGAGCAGAGGTAGGTTATGTATATTCGTTAATCTACCCAACAACCATGAGGCATTCCAGTAATAATTTATGGGGGATGTGACAGGGATGGTACAGGCCCATACCACACATTGGTAATCGTTGTTATCTATGAATTCTAGGCTTTCTAGGGTCCCTGTGCACAGCTCTCTTTGTGGCATATGCTATACAGGGGAAACCCCTTGTGCAGTGGGGAAGAGAGATGATGAAGGTTGTGCCGATGGCTGAGGAATACTGCAAGAAGACCATTCGCCATATGGCAGGTAACGTGTCTGAATCTAAAGAGCTATATTCTTAAAGACTTTCATCACAGCAGAAAGGAAAGAGCAGAAAAGAAAGAGCTATTTTCTTTCTTAAAAAGAGCTATTTTCTTAAAGACTTTCAGCTAGAAAGACACTGAAGAAACATCACTTCCCAGTCTCTCCATTTTGCTGCTTTCTCTGCTCAGACTGTAAGCTCTTCACAGGTGATGCCTCTTCTTCTCCTGTCTGTTAATTGCCTGGTATATCGGTGGCAAAAATACAAAGAGAAATAGCAATGATGATGCACAGTTTTATTTTTAGGAAGTCTTCAAAGGTTGCTGTACAAGGGGAGGGAGGAAATCATATTTAGTGAGTTATTAGGCAAACTGACTGCTGAGATATAAATTATTCAGCTCCCATCAATTAGTACAGTCCAATATTTTCCATAAGAAATCCCGCTGACATTTCTCATTTTCCTAGGAAAAGTTCCCCTGCAGATTCCCCCTGACCAACTGTTAACTTTTGACCACAAATTCAGATTTGACTTGTTGCTTTTCTGAACAAATATTTAAGATTCAACCTGTTTTACCCTTGACTTAAAACAACTGCGTGTAGCACAACTACTGAACTTGATATTGCTATGTTACTAATATATGTGATCTTCAGGACAAAGGTATTTTAGTCTCCTCTTGCCAGGGAGTGATGTGTTTGTAACGGTGAAACCTGCGTGAACAGACAAGTATCATCACATTAAAACATGGAGGAAAGAGGTTTTTGTGTTAAAGGATGGCTGTTGAGAAAGACTGAATTCAATGGAAATCTGCTCACAAGCACTCAGAAATGGAGGTTTACCTGGGAAGGAAAGCTGCCACTTTAAAATCTGGAAGGCGCACCAGGGAGCCTTTCTGAAAGACCCCACGTTTTCCTCTACGCCTCATCGTGCACCAGGACTATTTTAGCCGAGACCTATGAGGAGCAGGTGCAGGATTAGTGTAAGCGAGCTCCTCTCTGAGTGGCTTTGCAGCAGGTCCCTGTCACTCCACCCGGGCAGGACCCCTCGGCACGGAGGTATGCGTCCTGGGCTCCCGAGGCACGCTCTCCGGCTCTTGCCAGTATTGTTGAGTTTTGTCCTATTTTGGAAGTGGGAAAAGCCTCCTGCACTAAAGTTCAGCTCTTGGCTGGTGAAGAAATCCTGAAAAGAAATCCTGCCAGTATCCTCCAGTTTTAGAAAACTCTTTTTTGGCTGCATTATGCCCAGTGAATAACAAACACACAGTGTTCGGTTGCAGACAGCTTGACTCAACACCCCTCTCTGATATTCAGTTGCAATTACTTGCCAGATAGTCCCATAGACATAAATGTGACTGTTGTCTCAGGTTGTGCTCAAGGGATGGGGTAGAGCTTTACTAAGGATGGTGGCATGGAATTTCTGACTATGCTACAGGTCATCTGTGCAAGAAAATTCTCCTGCAATCTCTTGATCCTTCTGTTTCTGAGGCTGTGCATTGGAATTATCCGACATCCTTGCTTGCTGAGGTGCTACATAGAAGGCATTATTTTTTGAGGTATTTATCATTTATGGTCATGGGGGAAATAATAAAAAAAACCCAAACCCCACAAAGAAAGGAACCTGATAGGTCACCTGTATTTCTGAAAGCAGTCTTGTAACCAGCTGCTGGAGTGGGTGTCAGTATTTTATGTCAACCAGTTGTTTACATCAACCAATCTTTTCTTTGTGTAACTTCTTTTTTCTTCAAGATGTTTCCCTTGGCCTGATAGCTGTGAACATGCGTTCACTGTTTTTCTAAACATCCCACCGTTTTCACTGTTCTAGTGAACGGCTTCATTGCAATCAGGGCAAATCAGACCATGAGCTCAGAGAAAGGCATTCCCAGGCACTATCAGGAATGTGCTTGAAGGCTCATCCTTGTCTGGGGCTGGGAACTGGCAATGCTGTGAAAGTATCAGGTCCCAGAAGGCAGCCTGGATTTTTTTACATGGAGTTAAACCTCTTTAAAGATCTTAATTGCTGAAGAGGATCACCCACATGGCATTTCAGGAAAAGAAGCAAAACCAGATTACGTCCTTCAGAGAAACAGTCTGGCTGTGTGCATGCCCCTCAGCCACTTGCAGCACATAACTGATCGATAAGCAGGACAGAGCCAGGGAAAAAGTAGCAATGCTCAGTTTCATTTTAAACTGTACACTGATAGTCCCATACCGAATTACTTGTTTGCCTTGGCTTACCTAGCTGTCTAGTCCACCTCACTGATTCCTAATTCCTTACCCCCATTAGCTTCCCAGGCAGGGTTTCACTCAGGCCTCATTTCTGCAGATGGGTGTTTGTCTATGTGCTTAAGAGGTCAGTGTGACTTACACACCCTTTTAAAGCCTTTATGAAAAGGTTGAACCAGAGCACTGGCTTGAAAATGAGCTGAATTTAGTAATACTATTTACATGCACAATGTTAAGCATGATTAGAGATGCTCTTTTAAGAGTGACAGAAAGAGGAGAAAGACCTATGATTATTAAAAAAGGCTTATTTCTATGGGCACAGACAGAAGAGGTGTGTATTATTTACCCTTTTTTTAACTATATTTCATACTTATAATACATGCAATGGAAATTTTGGGGTTTTATAACTGCTTTTTCCTGAAAGATCACACAGAAATCCTGTGAAAACAGAACAGAAATACTGAAGAACTTATGTGATTAACACCTCGCAACTGAGTTAAGAGACAATTTGTATTTAGCATGTGTAAGCTCTTTTAGATATTCTTTAATCATAGTAAAGGAATACAAAAAATTGGCATAGAACTGAGGGGTTTACCTCCCTTTTTGTCAACTCTTAACTTTTCCTTGGAGTGTTCCTCAGTAAGTTCTCTAAAAAGCTCACCTTGATGTAACTTAATGTAATTTTAATATACCATAAAAATAGCATGAGATTCTGAAAATATTTTCTTCATTCACATCTTTTGTTGCCAGTTAGATATTCCACTCCATATTAAAACATATATTTAGTATGTATGACTGCTTAATGTACATTACTTCAAAATACCTAGTTTTTCAGGTCATTCAATACTGTAATTTTCTTCAAAATTTATTAAAGTAGAACTGAAAATGTTGCTGAGATGAAATCCTGTATCACTGATTTCTTTTGCATCCAGAATATCAGGAGCACTGGTTTTACTTCGAAGCCAAGTGGCAGTTTTATTTGGAGGAGAGAGAAATCAACAATGAAAATCAGAATAAACCTGTTTTTCCAGACAACTATGATGCAGAGGAGAGAGAAAAGGTAACTGCAACTTCAAAAAGCACTCAGGAAGGCTTTGAAATGGGAGAGGCATTTTCAAAGGGACACAACAGGGTTTTTTAACTGTTTTCAGTGTCAGAGTTGCCACGATGTCCTTACTGGTTTTCTAAAATTTCAAGAAAGAAAAAAAACAACTCCCATCCTTGACTCAGATATGTGTTAGCATAAAAAAGCAACTGCACCAGTCCTGAGGTTGCTGCGATGGGAGGAAAAAGTGCAGAGCAGCAGACTTAATGGCCAGATGCGCTGATGACCAAAGCGGGTACAAAACATAAGCCATGTGTATTAGAACGTGAAAAAGGCAATGTCCTGCCAGGAGCTCTAATTAAAGCCTGTTGGATCTGTGGCCCTAGTCCCACAGAAATCCCCCAGGTACTGGGAGCTGGACTTGGTTGTGGTCCTTTGAACAGAAGAAAGCCACCCCAAGCAATCCTCTGCCAAGGCAGGCTGTGCCCAGGCTCGTTTTAAGTGTCTTGAGAGATGGTGTTTCATCACGTTGCATGGGATAGTATTTTATAGCATACATGATCTGTTCTTCGGCTTATGTCTTCTGGTTATACCTTCTTAACTCAAGAGAATTAAGGTGTCATCTTCCCTGGTGTTAACAGCTTTCTGAATTACACGTCGAAATGCTAAACAGCAAAGCACATTTTGTATGAGTAGGTATGCATCCTAAATTTAGGGATAACTAGAGATGTGGGGATAACAGACAAATTACCCGTTCTTGAATGTTTAAATACAAGATGGGCCAATGTAGTGTAAGTCCTTTTTCAGTGATACACACTTGGAACATAGAATCATAGAATAGTTAGGGTTGGAAAGGACCTTAAGATCATCTAGTTCCAACCCCCTGCCATGGGCAGGGACACCTCACACTAAACCAAGGCTCTGTGCAACCTGGCCTTGAACACTGCCAGGGATGGAGCATTCACAATTTCACATGTTAGATACATAGTGAATAGGCAGACAGGATCAGCTTTGTTTTTGCAAACAAATCATCACCCTGCTCAGTTTCCCATACTGGACACAGTGTGCTACAAAACAAGGGAGGAACCAAACCAAAGTCATCCAGGTCAGTTAGACTCTGAGGTGCTCATTCCCTTAAGATGGAGTTGCTTAACCCAGCCCTGTGAAAGGACCCAGAAAAGGAAACAAAATGGTTGGAAAGGGAGTGCTAGCCAGCAGCGGGTCACCTCCTGGAGGGTAAGTCAGAGGCAGTTGTAATTACCGTCTGCAGGAGTTTACAGCAAGGATGGAATGTGTGAACTACCTCCAGGACTTGGCAGCAGCTCAGTGCCTTCATCAGGAGGGGTTGCATGTTGACACCCGCATCCATGCGCTCAGAGCTACCCGTCCTCACCCGCCCATTCCAGGGAAGCTGGGCTGGTGTCCCATCACAAGGCTGCACAGAGGCACAGGACTTGAAAGGAGGTTGCACTTCTGAAAAGTTTGAGAGATGCTGCCTTGGTGCAGTTAAGTCCAGCAGGCTTGGTCCCAAGGACAGCTATCCCTAGTGTAAAGCTGCTTCAGCAAGGCGAGATGACATCAGATGTGTGCAGAGCATCAGCCATCTGAAGGGCTAAATGGAGCGACACTTGAGCTGCCTGCCCGTGCGCCCAGAATAGCAACTCCATGCTTAGTCCGCTTGCCTTTGGTGGTATTACATGTGTGTCAGTACTGCTCCACTAACATCCAAACTGCAGCACTGAGGCTGGAAGGTTTGCGTGTGGCAGAGGACAGCATAAAGATATAAATTCTCTATATTGCAAAAAGAAAAAGGAAGTAGCAGAGGGAAGCTTTAATCCAGCTCTGCCTGTTTGATATATGTGTAAATAACCCACAACCAAGTATGTAAGGGCAGAGATGAAAGTGAACAGGTAGAAATGCAAACCCTTTGACACTTCATACATGCTGCAGAAGCCAAGAGCCAGCCAAGCAGCTATTATCATTATGTAACTTAAATTTCTGGAAATAAAGTTGCCCATTTCCTTTACAGGGAAGTTGGGTTTTTTTTACTATAAATGTATCAGTGTTGAGTTAATTTGAGAATCTGGGCCAGGAAACAGTGAGTTCTCTAGAGAAAATCTGATTTTCTTTTGCAAACCTTACAGTGGGTTGGGGTTTATTTCTCTTCTTCCCTCTCCTGGGGAGGAAATGTTTCTTATATTTGCCAATTATTTTCCATTTTGTTCAACAAATGCTCATAGAAGAGGAGGGAAAAGGCTTGGCAACAAAAAGTCAGAGAGCGTGGTTTGAATTAATAGTTTGAAATTGATCCCCTCAAGAAATTACTGAATCAGAGCTTTTCACCCTCCACGTAAAGCCTGGCTAATTGAAACAAGGGAGTTGAGAATACTTTCAAGAGGCAGGAAGAGGACTGACAAACTAAGTCCTTATAAGCCCTACATTTTTAAGTAATTGGGAATTTCTAGGGCGTGAACTTGGAATCCCTTTTGATCTGCTTTTTGGCATTCTTGGCTTGCTTAAGTCAAGCCAACTTCTTGGCCTGTTGAGAGCCAACAATAGTTAGGGTTGGAAAGGACCTTAAGATCATCTAGTTCCAACCCCCTGCCATGGGCAGGGACACCTCACACTAAACAATGCTTGGTGCATTAGCTGAGGTGCTTGGCTTGTACCTGCACCTCAGGCATCACCTAGGCTGTAGCAGCCGCTGTGCTGGCTTACCCCATGCAATAGGCAGCAGTGCAGGCAGCACAGCTGCCTAGTGCCTTTTCCCTGTGAGATGAGCTATTCCCACCCAGCAGGGAAGAAGCCATTTTGGCACAGCCATGTGCCTCATGTCCCCATTTCCAGTGCCCTACCCTGACACTGCCATCTCTCCCTCAGACGTACAGGAGATGGAGCTCTGAAGGCCGGGGAGGGAGAAGAGGCCATGATGCCCCCATGATCGCCTATGACGCCCTGCTGGGCTGCGGTGGAGACTGGACAGAGCTCTGCAACCGCTCCATGTTCCACGGAGGTGAGGGTCCCCTGCGCCGGCCACCCCTCTCCCTCACCCCATGCTGAGCAGATAAACCCTTGTACTTAGGGGCACACCATTTCTTCTACAGCCTTGTGAGAGATAACTCTCGCTGGCAGCAGTGTGGGCTTTTGAGAGGGCCAGCCTAGCTGTGGGGGGAAAGACCCCAGCCCTGACTCACCCGCTCCCTCCCCGCCTGGCATGGGCCCTCTGCAGAAGCTCTGTGTCGCTCACTCACCCTGATACAGTGGTGAGAGCCCACGGCCCCTCGCTGCAGAGCCCCACAGGCATGAATTTGCGGGCATCACACAGCATCAGTGCTACTCACCATGGCTGGATGTTTTAAAGCGTGTGCAGCGCATTGCTGTGCTGTGAGGAAGAAGGGACATTCTCCAGTCCAGGATGTGTGCTGTGTAGCAGAGACCCCTTTCAACTACTCTTCCCTCCATTTCCCCTGACAGTGGCCAGCTGCTTGCAAGAGCTGTTGCATTGGAGTGGATTTTCTCCACACCAAATAAGCTCCTTAGCCCAGGAGCACATGCCACAAAGGCATCACCACATGCTTGCATCGGTGCATTTCTCTCTTCCTTAGGGCATCCTCACCTGCACTGGCAGAGACAGGGCTTGGGGTGGTGCAAGCCTTTGGGACTGACCCAGCGTGCCCTCGTCATGCTCCATCAGCAGCTTAATATTTCCTCCTGTGTGCAGCGTGGGTTTTGGTTGTGTACATGAAGGTGACACTAAGAGACCATTGCAATTGTGCTTAAACCTGCAGGAGAAAGTGCAGCTACTGGGTCTATCGCCGGCTGCCTGTATGGCTTGGTTTATGGCCTGAGCAAGGTCCCCAAAGGCTTGTACCAGGACCTGGAGCAAAGGGAGAGGCTCGAGTTCTTGGGCGAGAATCTTTACCGACTATCCATGGAGGAAAAGTAAAGCAGTTTCTGCCATTTTCTCTTTCTATAAAGACTATATCAAACCCTGTAGATAACTGACTGATGTTCATAGCAAAGGAATTAGCTGAGACTTAGTCTGAAAGACTGTATGTAGATCGTGTGTGAGTGAAGATTGCTGAATTATTCAAGACTGATTTGATATTTAGAGTTTTGTGGCCTTTTTTTACAGATGTAGGGATTTCCAAGTATAAAGGGTACTGTCCAAATCAGTGAGATAATCTCAAATGGAAAAAGAGAAATAAACCCTCTTTTGACTGATTTCAGTCTAATTTGCCATAATACCACTTCTTAAACAGCTGTGACCAGCATTTACACATACAAATTAATTTTCAGAACTAATGCTTTCCTGCAAAACTAATGGTAGTACCTGCTTATGGGGATATTCTCTGTATATTTGACAATCCTTTCACCACTGTGTTCCTCCTTGTTCTCAAATCTAATGTGTCTTTGATACTTGTAAATCTAATGTCTCACAGATTAGCTTTAATGAACCACTGATCCCTGTATCAGCACCGTGGTGCAAGGTATTGTTACATTAGAAGCTTCCAGAAAAGGAAAAGCCAACACTAAAAATACCCCCAAGGAACAGCAAAGCACCAGTGTGTCTAAAATTTCTGAATTACGCTTTTATTCTTCTTCAGTCTTCAGAACAAAAGTTATTTTAAAATATAACTGGCTGAAATATTTGTAAATAAATTAATGTTACACTATTTTCTAAGCATCATTCTTTATTTTTAGATTGAGCAGATTCTGTGTTGCTGTATCAGTATCAGAATTTTTGGCTGAGGTCTTCTAGCAGTTGTAATAGGTCAGCAGTCAGGCTGTGATATATTTCACCAGTTGGAACACCACAAAAACCCCAGGAAGAAAATAGTTACAACTGCTTTACCTTTTTTCTCTTTCCTCTTTCCTTTTTCTTTCTTTTACTTTTCCCTTTATTTCCTTTATTCATTTTTTCCCTTTTCCTTGCCTTGCCTTACCTTGCCTTTCTCCATTTTTTTCTTCAACTTCTCTTTTTGTTTTCCTTTTTTCATTTTTCCTTTTCCTTTTCTTCTTTCTTTTCCTTTTTCTCTTTTTTCCTTCTTTTTTTAAATTTTTTATTTTTCAAGAAAACCAACAAAATATGATTCAGTTAAAAGTTGCACACAGCAGACAAAGGAATCCGTAAACCCTGATGAAGGAGATTCTGATGCCCCTGCAGAAGCACAGGCACAAATCTGGAATCCTCAATGAAATGACACAGAAGTGAGCACAAAATTTGTTCCTGGTGTTTAACCCTATGCTTTAGCTCAGAAGTTCAGAAACTGAGGTCTAAGTAGCACTTTCTAATCTGTACCGTGAGTGGTTGCCTACATGGTGTTGGTTTCTCCTATCTTTCTCCAGCTGCTGAACTGTTTTTAAAAGATAGCTAAAAATACATAAGTACTTTCCTATCCCTTTTTCCATGTAAGCAATTGCTGGAATCGTCACTGGGATGTTATGTGGCAGAAAGAGAAGCAAGTGATACCTGTTGTTATGAATAGCAGCCTGCATGACAATGTCTGTAGGAAAAGGTTTTCCATACTATGAGCTACTTCACACGGTGCTGGTTTAGCATGTTTTCTCTTGGCAGCTTTGCAAGGTGCTTTCTTGTTTGCTTTGGAGATACGTTAAACCAAAAGGAGCATTTGTGTCAGTAGCTTTTGATTTAAGAGAATACCAAGGCCTTCTAAAAACATTCCTTCTAGTTTAGGATGCCTCTAGCATACCTGTAATAAAGTCAGCAATAGAGAAGAGAGAAGAACATATCCTGCATAAGGTAGGATTTTCTCTAGTAGTTCAGCTTTTCCTCTTCCTTTAGAAAAAAATAATCACAAAAAAACCCTACCTGAAAATCATTCATAATTGTTTGCACTTCACCTTCTATCCAGGCTGGGAGGACCAAGTTTTGTTCCAGAGACAAATAAGAGAATACAGTTTGAAAGGTGGTTCCTAAAGACTGAACCTATAAAACACCTTTTTTTTTGAGCTTCTGAGACAGAGTGTTTGCCATCATTTCAGTGAAAACACTATAAAGGCCTATGCAGTGGTCCAAGCAAGCAGATCTGCTCCTGATTGCCTTCCTTATCTAGGGGCAGGTTGTTGCACCAAACACCACACTGAGCTGAGAAGCAGCTGGATGCCCAGGGATGAGGGAGTCTATGGGATGCAGCACCTCATGTGCTCTGGGTCATGGCCGTTTCCCCAGAACCAACCAACAGTGAGTCTCCATAGTGCTGCCTTCTCCTGCTCATGCCCTTGTCCTGAGCTCTGTCCCAGAATGGTAGCTGGATATTTAATATGTAATTCAGGATCAAGAGACAGCGCCACCTTTTCTCCACACCAAAGACAATAAGCCAGAAAATCCCGGAGCTGCATGCTTTTAGCAAATGCCATAGAATGCCACCACCCCCCCACAACTCAGGAGCCTCCAGACCCCTGACAGAGTGGGGAGGCAGGAGTGCATTGGTGAAGAAGGGTGCAGGCAGGGCTGGGGAAGAGTGCCATCTCATCTCCCTGTGCCGTGGCAGGTCGGCTCTCCTCCACTCTGGTGAGTGTCTGCTGCAGAGGTTTCCCTGGGACAAGCCAGCCAGCAGGATAGTGTTGCACTGCTACCCATTAGCATATCAGGCTGTTGCCACTCTGATGCTGCTATGATAAGTGTCACCGAAGAACCTATAAATAAATAACTAAGCTGCCCTGTCTTATGTATCTTAATTATTAGTGGGCCAGAAAGACAGGAAACTTTTGGAGGTGGCCTTGCCTCCTCTGGAGGTCCAAGTGATCTGTTCTCTACCACTGAAAACCATGCAGCAGCACTTCCAGAAACCAGCAGCACATTGCAGCAGCATCATACACATTAAAAACATTGAAAACCTGCATCTCCAAGGGAGGAGAGGGGCAAGGAGTCTGAAGTCCATGTTAGGTCATTTCCCAGCATTAGGGAGGAGCCAAAGTATCTGCCTTGTCATCTGGCCTGGGTCACACTGCTGGGAAGTGACTTCTGCTGGTGTGGGGTTCTGCTGTGCATGGGAGGCACCTGGCCAGCTCTTCCCAGCCATAGGTGGAGCTGGAGTTGGCTGTCTCTAGCTGAGATAGAGGTGGATCTGCTTTACTAATAGGTCACATATTTAAGAACAGCAGGATGCAACTTGGAAAAAGGTGGTGAAGAAATACTAGAAATGATATCTTGGCCTGTTGAAAAAGGTGGCCATGCTCCCAAACCTGACAAACCCTCTGACTTTGCTCTCCTTCCCTGGGAGGGGAGCAAGGTGTTTTCCAGACACAGGAACAATACAGACTTTGCACTACCCACATTTTCTGTCATGGTCTCAGACTTTAGTGTCACTGTACCAAAGCCCTGGAACAGAAAGCATTTCAGATTTACATGGTCATGATGCTGGTTTGCAGGTGAGGTCACCTTGGAAGATCTGCAAGTATCCTAAATAGGTGCCATGGCTGTTTGCCTGTTTTCTGCTGCTTGCTGGTGAATATATATCAAACACTGAATCCATGCAACATGTCTTGGTACTTAAGGTAATGCAGTATTCCCACAAAGGTTACATCTCAAATGACATCCTATAAGAGCACTCCAATGTGGAAAAGGAAAACCTTGTGCAGAGCCAACTAGTAATATATTTTAATGAAGCTGTTTGAATTTTATAGCTCATGAGTGATTAATTACAGTGATCAGTCCTTTCAGAGAAGGTCTTATCTTCTTCCCTTCACAATCAGTAGTAGTCTGTCTATGCTGACCTCACTGAGAGCAAGACTAGTCCGTATTTTACAGTGCCTGTTTATTGCATCCAAAGTAGTTTGTAAGGAAGAGGTAAGCAGGACATCTGGTTCCATTGCTGTACTGAGAGATTAGAGATGGTCTTAAATTACATCGGTTGATGGCCCCCATGTGCATTTCTGAATACACCAGGAACTTCTTAGGGAGGCGAGGAGCAGTCTTCTGCCATGGCAAGCTTTCAGTCAAAATATCAGCAAACTGGCTATACGAGGGAGAGTGAACCAGGATATTTTTAGCCAATCATACCCAGAATTCTGGGTTTTTATTATGAAAATTCCCCCTAGTTGTGACAAATGGGGATCTTGGTGTAACATGGAAGCCTTGCATCCTTGGTTGTGGTCAATTCAGTAAGGGAAAGGGTAGATGTCACCGTATTATGCACATGAGAGCGTGCACCTGTGCTATGCTGAAATGGGGTTATTCCCAATCAAAACCTACAAAGTATTGTTTGTTACATTAGACATGGGCCAGCTGTCATGCTTTTTTCTTTTATTGGCCTTTAAAAATATCTACCAAGTCATTATAAATAGACCTTCTTCCATTGGAGATGGCAACTTCATGCCACTGCTGAGGAATGTAATTTTCAATATGTGCACTTGAAATGCAGCCAAGTGGAATCCAAATGTAATGACCTAACTGTATGAGGACCAGGCCCCCACTTTGCCCCCATAATATCACAATGGGGGGCCAGGTCCAATTTCTTTTGGAGTCCATGAGGTACCAGCTGCTGGAGCACAGCTGGGCCCTCTGCAGCCTTTTGAGGCTGACACTCCCTGAAGGATGTCCCCCTTTGCAGCCTTTCTTCATTTTCTACTTGTGGGCTTAATTTAAAGAATTTTTTTATTCCATTTCTGCTCACGAAAAATAATCTCCTCCTGGTATGCAAGCTGCATTCTGTGCGTGAAGCTATTTCACTGCACAGTGAAGTAACTTTCCAGCTTTTCGTGGTGTTAGAAAGCTGACACCTCTTGCTTTTCCCCCTCCTAGCCCCATCTATTGTTATTGACTTCATGCTCCAGCTTTTGTGCTGAGTTCACTATTTTATTTAGTAACTGATCCACACTAATTAAAGCATTGCCTAAATCCCCAGCTGTCCAAGGGCCTGATTCTCCAAAGCCAAGTGTAGGTCCAACATACAAGCCCTCTTCCTCCAGATCAAAGGCAGTTGTAGCCATGGTATATTGCCAGGGTTCATAAAGCAGATTTAAGAGCATAGTCCTGATGTGGGATTTGAATGCCATCAGAAAACAAGTAATGCAAATCCTGTGGGGTTTTTTTAAATTTGGAGAGGTACTTAGCGGTTTCTAACCTGTACCAACAGCAAAAACTATCAGTGGCACATCTGTGCTCCTCAGCCTTGATATTTTTTTAATGGTTTAAGTCTGTTTTTATAACCCAGAGGCAGAACCATGTTTCTCTGCTAATTGTGTTCTCATAGTTTTTATCTTTGCCTACACTTTACCTAGCAGGAGAGGAAAACACCTGCAATGGTGCCTTCACATTAGGACACTGTGATACTGGATGAGTGAGGAGTGGCACAGAGGAGATGTGGTCAGCTAGCTTTGCTTGCTCCTTTAAGTGCTTTCACCGCCTACAAAACACAAAAGAGCTGAAGGTGCCATGTGGAACCATGTGAAGCCCTATGCGCTCCTGCTACACCATACCTCACAAAGCTTAAAAAGCACTTTGCACATTTTTAACAGGCCACTAATGACAACTGTCTTGAAAAGTTCTAAATTAATGTATTTTTTTTCCATCTTATGCTGAGCAGCATGCCATTAAAGCGGAATAAGGAGGTAGTGGCAATGTTGATGACTTGAAAAGAACATTCGTGTTTTCTCTTGCACAGCACCAAAAGCACATGCTTTTGTGGAGATGATAAGATGCTGGTAGACCCTTTGGTGCTAAAGAAGAAGCTCGATAGGATGGCAACAGAGCAAGGGGCCTTTGCTGTTCTCAGCAGTTTGCTGCTATACGTCACCGAGCTCGCAGCCAGCGATCCACAGCTCAGCAACAAGAGGACAAAATGGACAGAAGGTAAAGAAAACAAGGTGAGTTATAGCCAGCCATGTCCAGATGCAAACAGGGGCCAGTATCCCACCAGATTTCAGCTCTTGCGGGCCAGGTTTCTGAACAACAATCGTGAGCCGTACACCAAGAAAAGACGAGAAGTTGGCAAACTGGTAATTAAGGAGAAGCTGTGGGTGAGCAGGGCTGGTAACAAGCTGGACAGAAGCAGAGACAGGAAAGGAGATGGAAAAGCAGCAGAGGAGGATGAGGACACAGTGCCCAGCGAGAGGGCCAGGTGGAGCAGTGTGTGTGGGAAAAACACAGTGAAGAACATCCTGAAGAAATTCTTAGCTGCTGAAGAAAAAGAAGCCAAGGAAAATTCTCCCAGATGGAAAAAGGAGCCAAAGAATGGTTTGCCAAAGATAGTCAATAAGAGTTCGGTCCTGTCCAAACTGAAGGAGCAGTTTGAACAAAGCACTCTCCGCTCAGCTGCAGAGGTGAAAGCATCACTCTTGCGCAAAGGGGAGAAAAAGACTAAAAGCTTCCCGAGCAGAAAAACTATTCGTAAGCCAGAGGTCAGAGTGCTGCGCACAGCAGCAATGACAGCCACGGACATAAACAACCCAGAGTCCCAGTTTCTGGTGTGCTCCACGGTCCCAGTGCCCAGACTCAGTATGGCTACCAAAATTAACCATCCTTGGAGCTGGTTGAAAAATAATACGGCCAAGCAGCCTTTTGGTCATGACACACCACTAAAGGAAAAGGGGGGATCTGACAGAGAGCCTGATGAGAACAGCATACCAGCAAATGCAGTACAGGACAGGGAGCACAAAGAAGAGTTACCAGTGGCACCCCAGGTCATGTCTTATGCAAAGGACTGTGCTGAGACTAAAATAGATTCCACAAAGCAAGGACCCAATTTTAATCTTAATCTAGATAGCTCTTCTAGTACTTGTAAAAACAAAGCTCTCGCAGACTGTATTCCTCCCTTGTCTGAGTGTAGTCTAGACTGTGAAAACAATCATGTACTAGCTGGGCCTGATAAATCTTTACTGGGGATTACCAGTGCTGTGCAACATGCTAAGGAAGACAGCCCACCTTCTAACTCACCTTACTCTAGCACAGCTGAAGAATCCCATGAACCAAGTCCTCAGGATACTAAAACAGGTGAGATTCCTGAAATAACTATGTATGTGTACAGTTCAGAGGAAGCTGACACAGAGCTCACAGAGCCAGAAAATAATCCTTTCTTTACAGGCCAGGAAAGATTTCCAGAGCAGAAAGCACTGGGAAATATTCTGCCACTTCACTCTTCAGGAGTTCAAGCATCTTGTGAAGTTGAGCCTCCAATGGAGGATCAACAGCTAACTGTTGCAACACCAGCCTCTGGCAAAAGGCCACCAATAGTCCAAAAAGAGGCACCAGGTTTAATAGACAGGTGTTCTGAGGAAGCCAAAAAGGAAGTGATATATCACAGTGAAGACAAAATATCCTCTACTTATAGCAATAATTATAGTGATGTCCCAATGAAAAATGAAGAGAAGAATAAGACACCCAACAGCCAAATGCAAAATGAATCCAAAACCAAGCAGCAAGAGCCTCTTCAAATGCACAGCCCACAACATAACTTTGTTAATTACCATGGAGGCATATCAAATCCAGATGCCGATCAGATCAAACACACACTTTCCTTTAATGAGAGCAAGGAGCAGAAGTCTGGTGCTGCAGAAGAAGAGCAAATCTCTTCTCATTTCGAAAACACACAAAGCCCTTTGGCAGATGACCTTGTGAAGCACCATTTCTATATTGCAGAAGAAGATTTTAGGAAGGACAAATCATCATCATCAAATGAAATGATCAGTCATGCAAACAATCAAGCCCTGCATAGGAGTACCTTTACTGACCTGGAGACCTGTCACAAGCCATCTAAATCTTTCATTGAACGTGAAGAGAGCACTGCAGATGGGATGACCTGGCCTGACTCTGAGGCATGCAAGTCCCTCTCGTCAACTCTTTTACCAACACCAATGACTGGGATTGCAGGACAAAGAATCCATCACACTTTTGGAAATCCCCCAGCCCATCCTCCTATCGATATGGCAAGACAGGGAGCTGATGGTGTGGGAGATGAGCATGCTAGCCATGGCTGTGAGAAGCATCCACCACCCTCTTCAGATGAACTGGCAAACCACGGGAATGATACACAAGTGGAGGAAAAAACCACGTGTGATTTTAAGAACCCAGTGCTGTCCACAAATCATGCCACAGAAAATGAAAACTCTACAGCTGAAGACACAAATACATGTGAGAGATTTGATAACTGTCTTTCACTTTCAACCAAGAAGCCAGGAAAACATGAAAATAAAATCACACTCGCAAGAAAGCCCCTATTAACCCTGGAGAAGAACCGAACACCAACTTCAGAGGACACCACAAAGCAAGAAATTGATGTGCTGGAAAAGAACCTGTCTCCTTCATCAACTGAACCAGTCTCAGACAAAAAGAAGCACATGAAAGTTAGAAATAAGGTCTCTGAACATACAAAGGATAATCTCTTGTCATCAGATGATGACATAAAGCATGAGAGTGGTAAGATGGAGGCAGAGTACAGAGAAGAAAGAAAAATCTTGCATAAACCTGAGGATGAAAAAGTGTTCACACCAAGTGATACAGTGGATCATGATAGTAACTCTTCAAATGAGAATAATGCTCAAAGACCTAAAACATCCCAGTTACCTTCATCAAAGCATGATAATAACATTCAAGGAATGCAAAATACTGAGCAGAGTTTAAAGCATCTAACACCTTCAAGAGATTTTGTGAAGCACAAACATGATATGCCAGTAGATGAAAACATCTGCTGCAATAACGGTAAACATCAACTGTCCTTATCAGATGAACCAATGAAACATGCAAATGACAGTGCAGTGCAAAAACACATCAAGCCAAACTTTAAGAATTATTCAATGCCACCAAGACATACATCAAGGCAAAACAGTAAGACCACTGATGAGGAGAATACCCCTCATAATGTGAAAAATGAACCAGCGGAGCATAAAAAGAGTTGTGAAGGAGAGAGGAATATTTCCTGTGATCCTAAAAATCAGATGCCATCACCAAGTCCATTGGTGAAGCAAGACAAGAAATCCCCCCCTCTTGAGACGCAGAAACAGATGTCACCAGGTGACTTTGTAAAGCCTGAAACTAAGTCCACTGAAAAAAAGACTAAGCATATCTCTGAGAAGCTCCAGACACCTTCTCCAAACAAAGTGCTAAAGCCTCAGGAAAGAAGTCCTTCAGGAGATGGAAAGCAAAAGTCACCAGCAGCAGAGGACAGCAGACCACCTGAAACAAATGCTGTGAAAGAGGATAATGAGCATCAGTGTTCTGGAAAGTACCAGCTATCTTCTTCAAGAAAATCAGCAAAGAAGGAAGAAAACAGTCCAGGAGGAGAAAAGCAGCAAAAGAGACCTGAAGATCTTATGCCAGCTGACACAAATGCTGCAAGAGAGAAGAATAAATTCCCAATTTCCAGGAAGTACCGATCAGTATCATCAGAAACATTGGTTAAGCCTCAGGAAAAAAATACTCAAGAAAAGAATACTCCAAAACAACACCAACAAACGTCAGCATCTGCAGGTTTTAAGAAGTCTGGTACCAATGTTGTAAAAGATGTAGATCCAAATCCTGAGAAGTCACTGTCTTCTTCAAAGGAGGTGGTGAAGTCCCAAGACAAGAATACTTCAGGAGATAGAAAGCAAAAGTCACCAGCAGCAGGGGACAGCAGATCACCTGAAACAAATGCTGTCAAAGAGGATAACGAGCACCAGTGCTCTGGGAACTACCAGCTACCTCCTTCAAGAAAAGCAGCAAAGCATGAGGAAAACGTTCCAGGAGGAGACAAGCAGCAAAACAGATCTAAAGATCTTATGCCACCTGACACAAATGTTGCAAGAGAAAAGAACAAATTCCCAATTTCCAGGAAGTACCGATCAGTATCATCAGAAACATTGGTTAAGCCTCAGGAAAAAAATACTCAGGAAAAATATACTCCAAAACAACAAACATCAACTTCTGTAGGTTTTAAGAAGGCTGGCACCAATGCTGTAAAAGAAAAGGGTGTAGATCCAAATCATGAGAAGTCACCCTCTTCAAAGGAAGTGGTGAAGTCCCAAGACAAGAATACTTCAGGAGACAGAAAGCAAAAGTCATCAGCAGCGAATGACAGCAGATCACCTGAAACAAAGGCTGTAAAAGGGGATGATAAACACCAGTGTTCTGGGAACCATGAGTTACCTCCTTCAAGTAAACCATCAAAGTCTGAGAAAAATGCTTCAGGAGGAGAAAAACAACAAACTGTATCTGAAAGTTTTATGAAGTCTGATGCAATTGCTGTAAAAGGTAAAAGTAAAGATCCAGGTTCTGGGATGTGCCAGTCCCCATCTTCAAATTTGCTAGCGAAACCTCAAGAAAAGAACTCTGCAGTGACGAAGAAGCAATTGCCACCACCACCTGATGAAGAAACAATGTATGAAACTGGTAGTCCAGAAAATAAGAGTGGGCTTGAGAGAAGAGAAAAATACCAGCTATTCTCTTCAGCTCAGTCAGAGAGGCACAGCAGTGATGGCTCAGAAAAGGAAGGCCCTGTGGGCAACTTCAAGAGCTATCAAGCTCCACTGCCAAGTGATGGCATATATTGTAAAAGCAGTACTCTACCAAAAGAGACCAATTTGTCCCCCAAATCATCCTCATTTCATGTTGCATCAAAAGAGGGGGAAAATTCTAATGGAAATAGAAAAAGTCAGCCTGAATTTAAAAAGTACCAAGCTCTCTCATCAAAGAATTTGGAGAGGCATGAGAAAGATGTTGTGGAGACGGAGGGGAGCTTGCAGGCAGCTGGCAAAACAACTGAGAACTGCGCTAAAGCAGCATCACTCCCAAAATACACAGCAGAAAGCTACAGTGAAAGACCCTTAGATTCATCTTTCAAACCACTGATCATTAGAGTAATTGACACATTTAAACATCACAGCTAAAAACACGGCTACAGCTTAGGCAAGAACTTACAACTTATCATGCCACCGACTCTCAATCTTTCTTTTTTCCTTTACCCTCCAGGGCATTATATTATCATTTTTTAATCACAAGGACATTGACATGCATCTGTCTGAGCTGGGCTTTTTTCCTTTCTTAAACATTAGCCTGAAGACATGAATTAAATTAATCACTGCAAGTGAATTAGCTAATCACTGAATTAATCATCAGTTTATAAATTAAATATGAGAAAGGCTTTGAGATCGGCATGAATTCAGCCCTGCTCCAGACTCTCCATACTAACTAATGGGTTTTGTTTGTAACAAAGACCACTGTTCAGGGTGAACTCTATTTGTATTTACTTATTCTAATGAAACTCCACTAGAACTTCTTCCAGGAATGGTGTCAGGCAGTGTCAGCTTTAATTATGTCAAAAAGCACTTGTTCGAAGCTCTATCTTTTCACAGATTAACAGGAGCTGTTGATCTATTGCTGCACTGAGTGATGCTGTTAACAGAAGTAATGAGGGAAGGAGGGGAATGCTTCATTTATCTGCAGAAAAATCCTTAAAGGACGTTGACACTACAAGAGGGTTTTCTGTGAATGCAAATGTTCAGCCTCATTAATATTAATATCGGAAAAAAATAGTGGTTTAACCTCCTCTTAAGCTTTGGCCATACACTGTATGTGTTATTGGTGTAAAGATATGCCATTTCAAGGGGTTCTTAATTACTGCAGATGAACATGCAACAAGTGTATGAGCTCAGAAAAGCTCAACGCTGAAAGGCCCTGAGGACCTCTCCTGAGGACTATGTAAGCCAGAAAGACGCAACACCTTGCCAGGGCAATTTAGGTCTTCATGGGACATCTGTCCTACTTCAAATCATGGGGCACACAGACATGAGGCAGGTGCTGCTGCTTACATTAAAAGTCTTACAAAGAGTTTATTTTACAACACAATGTGAAACGGAGCATTAAGAAGCAGACAATGTCACTGAATCCTACTAATGGGATATGATTTTTTGTGTTTACAGTAAAAGTGGCTTCTGTGCAAAGTATGTGTGTGACAAATGTTGTTTTGGGAGTTATAGCAAAGCTGTGACAGAGAAATCTCACAGAACCACTCTCCCATACACCAATTTAGCTTTGCATTGTAACCACGCATTTAGGTTAAAACTTACTGTGGAGGAGCCCTAAAGCCATATCATAAGGACATGCTTTCAGAAAATTGCAGAGCTATCCAGAAAGAGAAAGGGTTTATACAAGCAAGGTCCTGCTCCCCCATGGCACTGGCTTCCCACTGATTTTTAAGACGCTCTCCACAACCTCACTCTGTGCAGCTGAGGGCTGGCCGTTCCTCCAGCCCAGGTTGGCAGAGTGCCCCGACCCACTGCCAGCCAGCAAACGAGGACAAGAGCAAGCTGGCAGCAAGCTGAGATCAAACCCTTTTGCCAGCATAGTGCACACGAGCCACATATGTGACAACTGGGCTGGTCCGGCCAGGGACGCTGCCGGCAGGGAGAGAGGACACGTACATCTTGTCCCCTGACTGCTGGAAAGGCTTAGGCTTTGATTTTTTTTTGTTTCCTTCACAACATGCCAAGAATTAGGCTTTCTGGAATCCAGAGGGACACAAAATGAAAATCGTGTATCACACATGTATCACCCTCAAAAGAGAGGCGAAACAGGATTTATTGGAGACACAAGACTACCCTTCTATGCAGAGGTGTATTTCACCCACTGAGCTTTAATGAGCTGGCAGTCATAAAGGCCACTCTGTACTAAACCCAAACCATAATTTACATTTTATTGTCCATGATTTCATTTCCCATTTGAGAGAAGTCCTTACAACATAAAGCGTTTGCACCAGACTTGAACAGTAAATTCTCTATTAGATGGTTCTCTTGCCAGCACAGGAGAAGGTGTTTTAATTATTCTTTTCCTAATCTTTAAAAAAAAAAAACCAACAAACTTACAGGGGGATTTTTTGCCCCTTATTTACACCTGGAAAGATCACTAGCTTGTAGTAAGTTAGACTTCTTCTATCTGCCAGAAAGTTAACTAGATGTTAAGCATGAACCCCCCAGTACAGCTAGGCAGTGGGAGGCCCCCCAGCTCTTCCAGTTTACACCTGCAATGACTTTCTCTCCACAGAGATACAGCACTAGGAGACTGAAGAGACAGCACCCTGTATTCAGGACAGGTCAGGTGGACTCTCATTGTGGGCGTTCTTTTAAGTTGTTGCATGCCTTAATCTCTGCTGGTAAGACATAAATCATCCATCCAATTTAACTGACCATTTCTCCCTGAAATGCACTTAAAACATGACAGACATTTGCAATAAATGCATCCCTAAGGGTAATGCCTCACTTAAGGAAATCACTTCATTCAGGAGTTAACACAATTAATCCCTCCAGGAAAGGAAAGAGCTCCCTCCCCCCCCAGTTCATGAAGGGCTGCTAAGTCATGCTGGATGAGCGTTGTCTTCATGAAACTGATTTCTTAATTTTCAAAAGAAAGAGTGCATAGCTACTCTCAGCAAAAAGAGCCCAAGCCCTGAGAAGGTTTAGCCAGTGGAAGAACTTGGGGCCAGTGCTGTACCATGAGGCACAACTGGTCCACATCAAAGCTAGGAGATATGTCAGTACTTGACTCCAAAGGTCAAAACCTTGAAGAAACAGTTGTCCTGGTAGGGCTGCCTGATTCCAAACTGTTCAAACGAAACAAGAAAATAATGAATGCACGCTTCTGTCTCTGAACTGCGAAAAAACTTAATAATTTATCAGCATCTTCTACTGTTGTTTCTCATAAAACCTTTAGCACACCATGCATGACAAAAAAAGACCTTAACTTGTATAATTTGTCTCAGGTTTTCCCCATTGTACTTTTTTGGATGTCAGTGGAGCTGGTAATTGAAGAAAGCACTGTAGAGTATAGAAAAGACTTCATATTAAAATGCATAATGCATTCCCTTCCCCCCCCCCCCCTTTTAGCTTTTTCATTTCCACCTGCAGCCGGCAATCCCAGCACACAGGGATTGCTCAACCCTTTGGTAAAGCATCCCTCCCAGCCCCGAGGTGCCACAGTGGAAATCTCTCGGCTGCTGACGGTGGAAACGCTCCACCTAATGGTCGAATTTGTAAAGCAGTTTGCAAGCAAGCAGCGTTGAAAGCAGAGGAAAAGTGGGAGTAGCGGTGGGAATTTCTTCTCTTATTCCTGTGCTGGTAAGGACTACACACTGTCCAAAAGACTTTTGTCTGTGTAATCAGAGAAACCACCCAAGTGACAACCGGGATCCTTATGGATTTTATGGGAAGGGGGGTCTCTGGAACATTAAGTAAATCTGGTAGCTGAGAAATAAGCACAGGGGTATTATCAGCTCTTAGAAGAAACAGTTTTAACTATTTCATTTACTGTATGGTTTCCAAAATACATCATGTCCTCTATGCTTTGTTTCTCCTTTACATTTCTACAAGCATCTTTTTATAGAATGAAACATTTTTCTGTCCTTGATAAGAACTTTCAAAACAGGAAAAATATCTTGCTGGGCATCTGCTTTCCTGCCAACTAAAAATTATTTTGTATACTGAATAGCCAAAGAATCAGCAGGTCAGCTTTTTAACTCTTACAACCTTGAAGGATGTGAAACAGCTTTGGGAATTGCTACACACCTCCTGTTACTGTACTTCCTTTGTCCTTAATGTGCCTTCAGTTGCTTGTACTCTGCTGAGCTGCAGGTGCAAGCACAACTTTGTACGATGGTGGGATTTTCACTTGGCAAGCAAGTGCTACAGCAGGCTTTCAGCGATGCTTGTCATGCAACAGCAGAAGTGTACTGCCAGGGGGAAATTTCCTGAGAAAATAAAGCCATAGAAATCTATGAAGTGGTTATCCTCAAAAAGCCACCAAATAGTTCTTAGCACCTGTATTTAAAAAAGATGGCTAGTGCCTCTGAATATCCAACACGGAGCATCTTATAGAAGGATCTGATTTTGGGGAGGAGTGCTCAGCACTTGGTCTCTGAAAATCAAGTTTATTTCATAAGCTGCTCCTTTAGGCAGCCAAACCCTCTTCTAAAAGAATTGACCCAGATTTCTGAGAGCTTCACAGGTTTCACAGGCACCTGCTTGCTCCAGCATCTACAAAAACAGGCTGTGAATAAAGACTTGGCATGCAGGATCCAGCCAGCTGGCTGGGTGAATGCAGCCAGTGCAGGTTGCTTTTACCTCAAGAAATTGCAAACACTTTCTGCAGACCACATACCTTTTCACCCTGCTCCATGGCAGTTGCTGACCCAGTCCTTGCAGGGTGGTGAGAGAGTTTTGGTATGGTTGAGGTGAGCCGAAAAAAGAAGGTAAGTCCTTCCCATCACTCCTGGAGGCTTCTGGAAGGAACCAAAGAAAGCAAGCTCTTGGACACCGTACAGCCAGTCCATTCTTACCAAGAAACAACTGTGTTTAGTCAAGTTGCACCATCAGAGCATAATTCTTGTGTCCCTTGGGATTCATACCAACACAATGGACTACCTAAAGGCAGCTCTGGATTGCAAATCCTGGTTACTGAGATATTTCATTCTTCGAAAGAATGGGAACAGTGTGGGCAGCGGTTATCCAAGCAGCCAAATAAGGTCCCACCAAATGTATCTCAGCTCTAACTGTCTCCAGGCTCCAGGAAATTTATCAGAGGCAAAAAAAAAAAAAAAATAAAAATCCCCAAAAGACATCTTCTTTATTAACTCATTCAAATTACACCCATCATGTAACAAGAAAGTCTGTACCATTGTCATACATTACAGATTTCTTAATAAAACTGTTTTCCTTCTTAGATGAGTTACTTATTTGTACCACTGAGTCTTCTGTGCTAAGATAAAAGCATACAAAATAACGATCTTGTAATCATCCTGTCATTATCAAGGAAGGAGCATGAGAAACAAAGACAAACAGCACCTGTAAGTATCTCATCAGTATGCAAACACTTTCCTTGTGCCCAAGGGAGCTGACACATGCTGAGTTTCATGGGACAGCTGGGAATAGGTAGAAAACATGAAGCATTTATTATGCAAATGTTGTGGCTTTGAAAAGAGTATGACAAGATGCATCTTCTGCAGCTTGCTCCTTGCTACCCTGTCCTCCCTGGCTCCTCAGCCCCAGGCAAAGAGCAGGCTGTGTGTCAGACAGGTGAATTTGGCCACTGGAATAGGAGCAGTGGCAGGATAAAGACCAGGTTGGTGGGAATAACCTCCTCTTGCCATGACTGCTCACTGGGAGGTGGTGGCCGGCCAGAGCTGCATGACCTGACATGACTGCCTGTCTTGTTTTTGCTTGACAATGGGAGTGACTAAATGCTCACCTGAAACAAACCTGGTGCCCCGGCAGAGCTGGATCAGGTTTTGCTATCTGTGATTTGAGGCTGGCAGGAGAAGCCAGTTACCTGGTGACCACATCAGTGCGTCAGAGGTGCAGAAAGGCCTCTGGCAGCTACTCCTTCATATAAAACCTTTAAGGAAAACAGCATTGACTAACTCTTCTTTCAAAACCACCACCAATCCTCACCTCCCTTTTAGCTCTTTCAATTAATTCTCCAGGTGATGTGTAGGTGAGATGGCCACAGAATGGGAGAAGTGTAGTGGAGAGAGAACCCACATGAGCGCACAGATTATCAGAGTGGTCCCGTACTGTGTTTTCAGATGTATATTTAGATGAGTTGCAACTCCCCTGTTAATACCCAAACGGATGCTAGCAGTTGCTTGGGGACTTCTGATGTTTCTATGGTGTTTCTTTTCACTGGTTCTTACAATCCATGTTTGAAAAAGTCACAAAGGGTGTATGTAAAGCATTTGGGAGCACAAACCCCTGCAGAAGCAAGTATGAATCTGAATCTCACTAAGAATTAGAAGAAACAGACTTATATAAGTACGACATGGAAGCAAGCATTTAAGCATAAGCCGTTCCTAAGAAAATATAATGAAAATACAGGTAAGTCTTGATTCTCACCCCTAATACAGTAAGTTGTTCTGACATCAAAAGAATCAGCTTCTTTCTATGCCTTGCTTCTCCATCTCCCTAATGGGAAAGAA